AGCTGGCCAGAGACTGTTGCTTTTGCCTTTTCCATCTTTTTTCTTGTTTTTATTTTCTTCCTTCTCCTTTTTTATCTTTTCTACTAGTTTTTTATCAAGACAAAAGGCCAGAAGAACTAAATTATTTGTTTGCATCACAATTATAATTTTCAATCAACTTATCATCCTTCCGATAATCCTTTTATCCTACACGCATCATATCATAAAAACTGCTAGGATAATTATTTCATACAATTCATATGATCTCTAATCCAAACACACTTATTTCTCAGTCTCTCTCTTTTTCTTTTCTTCACTTGAGTTTTTGAAGTTTCTGTATATAGAAATTTTTTGATCTAGTGATTCTTTTTTTAGTACTAGGAGGCACACTCAATGTGTGTGCAACTAATAAAAACATATTAAAAGGATTCAAATATTTTTTTGTTGGAAAGTAGTAATTTAAAAAAATTCAACTCTTTTAATATTTTAGTAAAGTTGTAGTTCTTTTTTGGTTATGGAAGTGTTAATTAATTTAACAATATATGGAGTGATTGTGGAAAAATAGGTAGTTGAAATGATGTAATTATCTTTAGCAATAAAGATAAATTAGATAATATATTAAGGGCTATATACTGACAGTGTATATACTTTCACCATTGGATACATAACACATAATCCAAATTTGAATTTGAAACTCAAATTTTACACATGTGTCATAAATGACACAGTTTGTTTTCACCAAATTCATCCTTTTTGCTCTATATATAGTGTAAGATTCACCTTTCTAATTGAAAATTTTTTTATGCTAATACCGCTCCATATGCACTAACAGTTCTTACTTGGATTAATTCCACTTGAAAATTATTATTGTAGAACGTCTATAATGGTCTTCTAAATTCTAATCCAACTGAAGGAAAATTTGGAAAATCTATTTATGTCTGGATGTGTTGTGTGCATTGAAAGCTGGAAAACCAATAAGGATAACAAATAGATAAATGAGCATAATCTGTGCTCTTCTCTCGCTTAAATTATTAACCATAAGAAAATTGATGGAAGAGAAGAAACGGCATGCCAACTTCTATGATGAATATTGAACTGATTATCCAACACATATGACTTTTATTAATTCAAGACATCCATATTTCAACATATAAATTTTAATTTTGTTTTTCTTTTTTACCACCCTGTCTTTAATTTTCCCATTCTAATACCTCATAACTTGCCACGGTCCCCAAAAAAAAAAAAAAAACTAAAAGGAGAAACCTCATGCCATAATCCAATGACACATTCATAGACGCATAAGACACATATTCATGTGGTAAAATTGGAGTTGCAACGGCTGAAAATGCACGCCAAAGCATTGGATCCAGTGCCTTTTTCTTGACACTGTTGGTAGTGTGAGTGGGTTGGTGGTGGAAGAGAATTGAGGGCGGCCACCCCATGCATGCATCCCCTTTTTGCTTTCTTTCTTTCTTCGCATAATTGTCTACTGTGCTACTTATGCTTTGCATTTCTGAATTCGAGTAGAAACTTCAACTGGGATGCTAAAATGATTGGGTAATCTATTACACAACACAAGCTCCACAATGGGTCCCCTATCAACTATCATCCTCTTTTATTTTCTTCGAGTTTTTTGTCATCTTCAGGCTATGCCATCGCCATTCTTTTGGAGTACTAGTTTATTTGTGCCTCATGCGATGCATGAGGGTGCCCAATTTTTGGTGAAATTATTAGTTGTATGTGTATGGAGGTAAAAGTGGATGTATGAAAATTTGATGATGGAAGAGTGGTAGTTCAGTATAACTAGTTACATTGTTTTTATAGTAATATGTACATTATCAAAAGTTGGTCATTACACGATAGAAAATTCATACAAAGAACCGTAGACAAAAACACTATTTAATTAGCAAAAGTAGGTGGTTGCATGGTAGAAAACTAATATCAACAACTATTGTAAAACTATAAATGACCAATAAATCCATTTAACTAAATTTACCCATAGCCGCTTATGAATAGATAGATATGAGTATCGTAAGTTTTAACATACGAGTATTATTGTATAACTCATCAAATCCAATTAATTCATTTAGAATTGTCTTCTTCCAAACTTCCTCTTTTCCCCTACCCATTTTTTTTTTTTCAGATTCTTCATTTTGTCATGATATTAACTACTTTTGTTTTATTATTATTATTATTATTTTATTTTCTCTTAGTTTCTTAACTTGCTCATTTTTCAGTATTACCAATTTATGACAGGTTTTAACTTCTTTTCCTACCTTTCCAAAATGAAAATTTTAATTTACACACAAAAAAATATTAGGAGTTCAAAATTTTTGGACTAAGTTTTATGTTAACTTTTATAGTACTTAGTTCAAAATTTTATATTCTTATTGTTCAATTATTAAATAGTTTGTAATTTTGCGACATAGAGTACGGATGAAAAAAAAATTGGTAATTAGGCTTATTGAGCATTATAAGTAAATATTTAAAACTAATGATAGGTGCAAAGGGTGGTATAAATAGGCAGCTTAGTTTGCAAAAATGAATTTAAATGAGTTTACAAAAATTAAAATAAATGGGTAATTGGGTTACCCAATTCATTTTTTGACTTATCTATTTATACCCATCTAATTAAATTGGTATAAATGGATTGACTCACTTATACCCATTATCCATTTTAACCAACATAAATCCGTCCAAATCACCCATTTTGACATCTCTATGCGAAACATAAGTGAGGTACATGGTTTTAGACATAGGTGGGGAAGAAGAGACTGTCAGCACAAAAAACACTAAATTTGCATTTGGAGCATTTTAGACAGACATGCAACTTCACCCCTAGGGCACAACAAAATCAATATACCACTAACCTAACTCAATCTGTACAATACTAACATGTTAAGATGAAAATTCCAAATTTAGCCACCTAGTCATAGCCCATAGGGGACCATGACTGCTGCTCAAATTCATAAGCCAACTCCCCTTTTTATACCTTTTAGGATTTAGGATATAATACAAGGTGACCGAAGAAGAAGAAAAAGAAAAGGTAAAGAAAAGCTAATTTGGATGTCTACTCTAATTTTTTTCATCATGTGATACCTTGTTTGTGTTGTAAGTTTCCATAGAAAAATTTTTATATCTTTCAATCATCTTTTTATCCCACAAACATTAAGTCACTACACTAAATTTTTCTACAAAAACTCTTAAAAATAGCTTTTTTTTTCCTTTCTGTCTTTTTTTTTTTTCAAAAATATTTTCCTCTTGGATGAGATTAGAGTGACTTCTGCTAAGATCCAGTTGCATAGTAAATCGCCCTTAACATAATGCTTAAGATCATCAATGATGGCAAAGGTGAAGGAAGTCCTAATCATTGAAATTAGAAGTAGCATACAATACTTTTCTTACAACAAAAAACAAAAAGTGTTATATTTAGTTTGGAACTCCTATGATGGTGCACGATAAAACAAGAGCCGTGCTTGCAAGAAAATTACAAGCTTTAATTGAGTGGGTTGTCGTCAGTCTTCCAATCGAACCCAAAAGAGAGAGTCCACACCAACAGTTTGGGTCATATGGCTATGTCCAAGGTGTCATTTGCTGGGCTGGCTTCCATTGAGCGTTCACTGAATTGTTGATGGATTTTAAGTATGAGTTGCTGGAAATGATCACAATATGGAATGCTGGTAGGTGAGAGTATGAGAGTACACTGGCAAAGCAATGCATATAGTTGATTGAATGAAATTCTTCATATGTACTATGCAGAATATTTCTTTGTTTGAAAATAATTTTTTCATAAAAAAATTTCTATACTCTCCGTAAATGCACTTTTTAATTATTTTTTTATCTCAAATATATCAAATCGCTACGGTATATTTTCTATAAAAACTTCAAAAAATTGCAATCCAAATACAAATGTTTGGAAATTTGCATTTAGCACTTTTACTCTCCTGCTCAGGTGATGAGCTTTAAAATTAAGTCTTGCCAGTCCAGCTGCTTCCTCATCTCATTAGCCATTACCAACTGTAGAAATGATTTCACTGGAATTGAAACACCCCCCAAATGATGATAACATAAAAGAAGGTGGTTATGAAACAGGGGAAACAGATTCCTTTTATTCTCGTATAGTACAGAGATTCTTCCCTTGACATATTCGCTGTGTTTTTAAACTCGGATCGGACCGGTGCGGTCGAATCAAGAACCGGCCAAATATTCGGTCTGAATTGTTTTTCAAAATCAAAAGACTCAAAACTCGGATTTGACCCCAAAAAATCGAAAAAAAGTGATTCAATCAGAGTATTTTTGAAAAAAAGTTAAATTTTTTTAATATTATGTTTTGACCCCTAAATTGTTAAAACTTATTAATATGTCTCAAATATTTCATATTTTATAAATATTGTCCTAAAATTTGATGCTGTTTTTCAATCAAATCCATAATTTTAATTCTAAACTTGTTAACGTTCATTAAATAATATAAATTGTTACTTGGTTATTCTAATTTCTTTGTATTTTCTTGTTAAATATATTTGAAACATTAAATATATATGAATATACTTTATTAATATTAACATACTTTTAGGTATTTTATATATAATATTTTAATTTTTTAAATAATTTTTATTTATGACATCATCCGGTTCAACTCTGATTGAACCCGATCGAATCCATTGACCCTGCCCTTTGAGTTCGGCCGAATCGATACCCGATTCGAATCTAAAAACATAGCATATTGGGACTTCAACAATGGATTTGTTAGGCTGAAAATCTTGGCCAGCATTCAAAAGATTCGATTTCTTTTGTAAGGTATGTTCCAAGGACGAAATTTACTAACCATCCTACTTGTAACTTCCCCAGATGTTCTAGCTAACCATCACTACTACCATACTTGTTATAGAACATTTTTCTTGAAGGGGTGCAGGTTTTGAATGCACAAATTTGCATCAAGTGGAATATATGAACTGGTTAAAGCCCAGAGAATATCGGAGTTCGAAATTGGTTACTTGGATCGATCGGCTGTAATTTGGACATGAGATTCAACTCGTACATCCCCTTTCTTTATTTGGCCAGGCAAATCCTACTGGCGGAAATTCAGGATTCATTCCAAGTATTTAATCCCCAAAAAATAAAGGCAAAAACAAAAAAAAACCGTCCAGAGGAATTGTATAGCTAATTGTTCATGGATTTCCAAGCCACTTCAGTGAGTGATTTTGAACCAAGTTTAGCATTGGTTATATGACCTGCTTTAGATTTGGCTTATGTACGTTCAATTTTGTTGCAGAAGCATCTAAATAGAATTTAAAGCCAAGATCTACTCATACTTGTAAGATCTACTTCAATTAGTTCCTGTAGAAATTGAAGTTCCTTCACAAAGCTGTAGCTTTTCATCTTATGATCCAAGCACCAAAGGTCTTTCTGCCGATAAACCCATATGCTTAAGGTCTCCTGTTCGTCTTTCTCAAGGACAGAGTATTTCTCTTTTTCACTTCCTTTTTTTTTTTTTGCAGAATTTTTCTCAACGATGAATAAGCACGCATGGAAACCAAAAAGATCAGAGAGCTGCTTTTTTTCAAAAAAAAAACCTGAGTAAAACCGGCAGCTTAATTAATATCTTCCACTCTGAGCTGCTAAATTTCCTGCAAGAAGAATCACTTCAGATGATCCTGAAAGATACTAGTAAAGAGTAGTAGCTAGCAATTGCATAATGATAAAAACAAATAAGACCCAAAACAGTAATAATCATGTAGAGCAAGGAGAAGTGAAAATACCACCAGTCCAGAAAGCAGGGGATCAGATGAATTGGATTTAATCAAACAAGCAAGGTAGGGAAAGAAAGGAACCACAGGAAATCATAGGAATGGGCGGGCTAGGAAAGGGATTCACTTTTTAGTCGCTTCCATCCCTAGCAGCCCATTCCCAAAACTTCCTGCAGATCTATCTGCCTTTCCCTCTTACTCAGTAACTCCCACCATGGATTAGCATGGCATGGTGCTTCATGTCCAATATATATGTATAATATATATATATATACACAGATGCAATCCCCCAAAAGAAACTGCTAGGAAATTGATTAGTAGACCTGGTCACCACCACCACTAAGGCAAGTTGCGTTTGGTACTGGAAAATGGAACCTTTCTTGGAAGTTGGGTGTCTTATCTCTTCTGCTTTTCTTTCCATGTGTCTTGGTCCAATTGCCGCTTTGGATGCTCTTTTTCTTTCATAGTAGTACATTATTTAATACCCTGTCCTTGGTGTTTCCAAGTCTTTCTGTCCTTTGCGTTTTCTCTACTCGTGACTACGTGGGCAATGGGCCGCCGCCAGCACCATTCACTGATCTAAGCACACAATAATACTTGTTACCATTACTGTGTGGATTTGACGATTGATTTATGAGCTGTATCTACTTAGTAAAGAATGGAAGGCTTCAAGAGTTATATTAATATGTTGTTTCAATGCATTTGGAGATACAAAATTGCTTAAGAGTTAGAAAAATGATTTAAAAAAAAAGAGTTAGAAAAATGAAAATTGAAATATTAGAACAAGTGTCAAGGAGTTCGGTAGTAGTTTTAAAAGTGTGTTTGGATTGCATTTTCCGTCATTTTTCATGGAAAAATTACTGTAGCGATTTGATATATGTGAGGGAAAAAGATGATAGGGAAATGTGATCACGAAAAACGACAATATTTTCCGACGGAAACAAGCAATCCAAACACACCCATATTTTGTCGAAATTTCAAGTATCTTTCTCATTGGGTTGGGTGCAGTGTTTTTTGCTGAACAATTTCTATAAACTTTTTTATTTTTTTTTATCTCCATGCCCCATGTTTGTCCTGTTGGACAAACAAATTTTTGGTCAAATTTATCTGCTACAAGTATTTTTAACAATTTTAGTTATAATAACATAAAAAATTTTAAATTATTATATTTCAAAATATATAAAAATTTACATACTTCAAAAATTATTTTATAACTTTTACGGTAAAATTTTAAACAAACATAAAAAAAACTCATTCATCAAACGGGACTAAGGTTGGGCGTCCAGTGTATTTTTCTTTTCGTTTACTGAAGTAAACCACCCAGTAAGCTGCAAATCAAAACTTACAGCCCACAAGCTGAAGTATGCTCTCATGGTTTTGTTGTAGACCATGATGCCCAGCAATAAGGGGCCTGTTTGGAACCTGAATTTTTTGGGAGTTTGTCTAAAACTTTACTGTAGTGCACTGTAGAAGTTTTTGAAAAAATTTTGTAGAAGTTTTTGTAAGGTGAAAAATTTTGTAGAAGTTTTTGTAAGGTGAAAATTTTTTTTTTCTTTTCTTTTTCTTTTCTCTTTCCCTTTCTTTTTCTTTTTCTTTTTCTTTTTCTTTCTTTCCTTTTTCTTTTCTTTCTTCTCTTTTTCTTCTTCTTCTTCCCCGTTACCTCCGCCACCCCCAGCAGCAACTCCACCTCCCGCCGCCCCCCTCTGCCCCTTCCCCCCCGCCTTCCCTCCCCCGCCACCCTCTCTGCGCCGCCCCCCTCTGCCCTTCCCCTCCCCCCGCCACCCCCCTCTGCCCCCCTCTGGTCCTAAGATTCAGTCTAATGAGCAAAAAAATGTTATTCAAACGAGAACCTTCCAAGATCTGCTCAAAGACGAATATGATGAAGATTTATTTGAGTACTATGCTACTACACAACTTGTTGTGGCCTCTCTGGATGGGTCAGTGGAGCCAATTGGACCACCGGCCATATATACTTCAATGGAACCATCTCCAGATGAGCAATATATTTTGAGTACTTCAATTCATAGGCCATTTTCTTTTATCGCCGCTCCCCTCTGCGCCACCCCCCTATGCGCCGGACGTAGAGAGAAAAAAAAAAGATAAGAGAGGATGATGGTAGTGGAGGAAGAGGGGGAGAGGGAAAAAAAGAGGGAAAAAAAGGGGGGAAAAAAAAAGACCGGCACCGGAAATTGGTGACGGAGCCGGCAATGGAGGTGGTGGTGGGGGAGGAAGAAGAAGAAAAGGGGAAGGGAATTTTTTTTTTTTTGTGTTTTGGATATTTTAAGTGTGTAGGTTAAAAACTTTGATAAGTTTTTTGGGGTTCCTGTAGCAAAAGTTGTTAAAAAACTAGTTTTATACAAACTTGGTAAAAAACCAAGCTTCCAAACAGGGCCAAGATTTTAGGTTTGTGCATGTAGGACAATCTCAGCACCAAACACAAAGTGAACCAGCAGAATAGCTCTGAAACTACTTAAAAGAGCAATCAAGTCGGGTAGCAAAACAAAACTTAGCTTAATTTTGTAGGGCAGTAAGCTGTGGGTTTATCATGCCTTGTACCTTTATCACAAGCTACTCAACGCTGCACCATTTTGATTTTGAAGCTTTACCATGTTCTCTTCTGACCAATTTTTTACTTTCAGTTTCGGTTTGGGTAAGAATTTTATCCTTAGAACTTCCATAAAACTGGATTTGTGTCATTGAGTTAAAAGGTTATTCAAACTATAAGGTATAGCAATTTTATACTTTCAGTTTCGGTTCGAGTTTTGGTATGCGAGAATGAGTCAAAATCACAGCAAGAAAATGAAGGAACCTCCAAGTTCGATCTATAGCACTCCACACTCCCATATATTATGCCAGCGAAAAAGGCAAAACTAGCGGTCCAATTAACGTTTTCAATCATCTTTGCCACAAAATTATTACACCAGCAACGATACAATTGGTTAATCTGGCAAAAAGAAAAAAAAATCCAGTCCTATAGCATGTCAATTGCCTAAATCTGGAAGAAATAGTCAAGTCGCTCCAAAGGCAGCAGCACCTTATGCCAAATCTCCTCTCTTTGTGAACTTGTAACAGGTGAATGCCAGGGACCCGTCAAATGATTTTTGACTTGCAAACTTTCAACAAACAATCAACAGGTTAGAACAGCATTTCATAGAAATCGTACAAAACTAGGAACTTATTCATAATACAAAATGCTCGAGCTAGAATGAGATAGACTTGGAAATTTTCTGACAGATTTACATGGAAAATTGTACTAAAATACGAACCTGAACCATTTACCTTACCACGCAAGATGGTCAAAGATCAAAGAACCATAGCTAGGTAAGGAAAAGGAAAAGGAGGAACCACATGAAATCATCGGCATGCCCGGAATTGGAAAGGATCCTACTCCAAAGCCCCTAAAACCCTAAACCCAAAATAGAACAAATGAAAAAACAAGGAAAAGAAGAAGACAGTCCATGACCTCAGCTGAACATGCCAGATCCATTCAAGGACAAGGAAAAGAAATGGAGGAACCACATGAAATCATAGGCATGGCTGGCCTCGGTAAGGATTCTCTCCATCCTATCTCCAAACCTAAAAATTTAAGATCGAAAATAGAATTTTTTTTTAAAAACCCACAAAAATAAGAAAGAAAAAAAAATAAAGTTCCTTTCCAAGCCAGGCGATGCCCACAATTTCCTGCAGATCTAGCTCCGCTTCCATCTTACCCCCTTTCTTCCTGAGCTCCAATATCATCCTCTGTACCATAATTTTAAGGGGAAAAAAAAAGAAACAAGCCAAAAACCCGCAAGAGCAAAGAGGGGAAGGGCAAAAACCCTAATCGAGAAGCATCGAATTGCATTTAGTGACTGTTTGTTTCATCGTGCGACACCTTTTATAAACTTTTCCTCCCCATTAAGTCCAAGAATGAGAACGCGGTTAGAGGACCCCACCAATCAACCCTAACCCAGCCCACCTCGTTTTTGCATGTCATCCGGCCCAAAAAGAAGCCATCCAATTGTGGAAGAAATGCAAACCCTAATCAAAGTGTACCAGAAAAACGTCTACCACTTTGATAATATTATAAGAGTTAGTTGGGTGTGAGTAGTAATATCACCATTTCCTAGTGCAATTTGAGGATTTTTTGTTCTTTTGTGGAGTGCCATTTGACAGATTTACACATAATACCGGGATACTTAGGCGGTAAAGTGCGAGTGATCGAATTTAAATGGGACAAATTTAAAAGTTTAAAACGTAAATGTTCAAAATAAAAAGTTAAGCGTGTAAAACATTTAAAATTGAAGGTTAGATTATAAAATAAAAAAGTGATACAAGTTTAAAAGTGCAAAATAGTATTAGTCGTGAGAGTAATCATTGAACTATATGGAGTCGCTCGCTAGTGAAACATCATGGCGGCATTGAATTAGCAGATCGAGCATCATAGAATTAGTCGTTAGAGCAATCATTGAGCTGTATTGACTCACTCACTAATGAAACATAGTAGTGGCATTGTTAGATCGAGCATAACAAGGTTGTCTTTTAACCATAAGAACACTGGTAAGCTTAGACAAAATCAATACTCATAAATGACGATGATTGAAACCCAAATCTATTCTTCTTTCTATTGGGTCCATCATTTTCACTTAACAAACGACAGATGACCAAAATTTTTCTTGTTGGTTCTTAGTTTTTACTCTTGGCGTTAACTAAGACACCGTTGGGTGTTATCAAAGTTATTACTACTTTGGTTCTTTGTACCTTTTAAGGATTTTTTTTTTACCAAACAAATCTTTGGGGTGTAATGAATTTTCAGTGTCAAGTTGTTTCTCTAGTGCAGACACTAGAGCATCTGTCGCTTTTCTCGTGTATATGATTTCTCCATGTTAAGCAAACTCTGGATGGAAAATTTTAGTCAAATAGTTGGTGATAGATTGTTTATTATAAGTTGCAATACATTTGTAAGGTTCCTGATCAGATGACTGGAGAACTCATGGTGTGCCATTTATGGCTGATACAATCATAAAATTGACGAATTCATTCTCTCTGGCTTTCTTGCTCAGATTGATATCTTTTCCAAGATTGCACAGAGATCTCTTGAATTTCCAGATGGAACAACAGAAAATATAACTATTTATGACAATGGCGAGCGTAACCTGATATATAACTTTGTTACCATTGCAGACGACCTAAAGGACTTTTCTTGAAAGATGGATGAAATCAAATCAGCATCTGGGCAAAGCAGCGAAAATCTCAAAGACTCTGCTTGGTGCTTATCGGCCAAAGCAACTGCTTAGTACCAGTTGAGAATCTCAAGAATGCTATCATCTTGTTTTGAGAAACTAGCTAATTTGATATCAAGTCTCTACCTTAGTTACATCTTGGTCAGGACAATGGCATTTGCCAATCTTTCAGACGCTAGAAGAGATTATCCAGCAAGAAAGAGGTCAAGATGATTTGGAATCGGACAATAACTACTGAGCATTGGCAATTATGAAAAACTTTTATCATTTTTTTGATTGTGTTATAGTGATGCCTCTCAAATCTGAATCTGTGGTATGCTAGATGTTGTGTCATGATGAAACCTTTGACTACCATTTTTCTCCCTATATTGAGAGGATAATTTTCCTGGTTAAACTCCTGGTCCTGGGGATTGAGGATTACGTTCATTTTCCATCCACCGACCCACAACTTGCCATCCGTCATACTGCTACTCAACGAGCTTGAATTCACAAGTAAGAGAGTACATTAACAATTTACGCTGGAGAATCAGGTGCCAAGATAACTTGGAATGAAGTTACACTGGGGAATCAGGTGCCTTTACTAAAAGGGCATTTGGAAAGTAGAAGTGCGTTTCCTGAGCTTGCCCTTAATGGTGGAATGAGTTTCGCGGAATTTCTCTAAAAAAAAAAAAAAAAGAATTGGACTGGGCTGTCATGTCTTTTGTCATAGATGGTTCCGAAGTTCCAATTTTAATTTCTTCAATCATCGAAAATGGTTTTCCATTGGATGATACAAGTAATCAAATAATGGTTTTAAGCCGCCAAAATTTGATCGAGACACACTGTAACAGGGAATTTGTTGCTTCTTCTCCTCTTTTGTTTCCATTTTTATGTGGAATAGTTTCCTGTAACAGGGAATTTTCATGCAATTGCCGGGGCTTGGGGAAACCCCAAGCAATTCGAGCACTTCCCAATCTTGTTCAGACTGAGCTCCCAAGATTATCTTCCTACCAGAAACAAACTTGATGCAGAGGGAGATGGAAGGACTTGAGGAGGAAAATTGGCTTCAGTAATGGTTTCTTTGCTGGGATTGAGTGGGGGATTGCAGGCTCTATTGTGGAATGTGGAATGAGGGATTATTAGTTATTCCAGAGGACATATCAATGCTATAATATCTGATGAGGAAAGGGTTCTCAAGTGGAGATTGACTGGCTTTTATGGACATCCGGATACTGTGAAAAGGAAAAGTTCTTGGGAACTTCTTTCCGGGCTAAGTGACAATATCCGTTTACCATGGTTATGTTTTGGGGATTTTAATGAAGTCCTTGAAAGGGAAGAAAACTTTGGTAGATTGGATAAAAAATGGCCTCAAATTTATGAATTTAGAGGGGAAGTTGATGAGGTCCGACTATTAGATCAATTCTAGTGGTTAAGAGACTTAGGACATTAAGGGATGAAAATTTAAATGTCTCGTCAAAGTGGTATGGTTAAAAAATATTAGAGATATCCAACATTAAATTGGAATATAACATAGAAATAAATATATCTGGTGAAGTATTTTACAATGGAGTTGAAATCACACATTAAATTCATTACTACTTGTTTGGATTGACATTTTATTTCCAAAAACGAAAAAATTTTGAATGCATCAAAAACACATTTTTTTAATCACTTTTTTTAATATTCTCAATAAATATTTTTATCTCACATACATGGCGTCACATTATTATTTTTAAAAAATCTCAAATGATCTTCAATCCAAATAATAATTTTGTCTGTTCGTGAACTTCTGGAAAACTCTCAAGAAATTGTCTTAATTTTGAAATTATGGATTGTAGTAGGATTACAATGGTAAAAAGGGATTAACTTTACTTTGCACCCCTAGACTTTTATTAGTTTCCTATTCTGTAGTCCAAATTTTATTTTGAATACTTTACACCTTAAACTCTCAACTTTGGACATTTGTACTTTAAACTCTTAAATTTGTCCCATTTAATTCCAATCAGTAACAACTTTAGCAAAATTAATAGTATAAGAAATCTAACAAATCAATAATAATGTGTCGATAATTATCAAAAAAGTGCCAAAGTATTGTAACAAAAAGAAAACAATAAAATGACATTATTTTGCACCATCTTGTATCTTATTAATTTTGCTAACAATTTATTGAAAAAAAAATACTATAGCACTTTTTGACGTGATATCTGTGAGATAAAAAAAAAGTGGTTGAAAAATGTAAATCATTTGCTATCCAAAAACAATGGTAGTGTTTGGATACCAAATTATTTCAAATAATATTTCGCTTGCATCATAAACATATTTCCCAACCCACCTTTTTATATTTTCAATCACATTTTTATTACACACATATCACATCACAAAAAATACTACAGTAATTATTCAAAATAATATTTCAAATAATGCTCGATCCAAGTCTATTTAGTGATAATGTATTGAAAGTGGTCAAAAAAAGCTAAGGAAACAGTATATTATCATTAATTTTCACCTTCTTTTCTAGCAAATTTTGTGAATGTAATTATTAATTGAATTTCAATTTGACAAAATTTAAAAATTTAAGGTGTAGAATGTTGAAAATTAAGTGCTTAGAGTGTAAAATGAGAAAGTAGTACTGCTTTAGAGGCATAAAATAAGATTACACACCTACCTTTCGTCTACGGACTGCGCCCCACCAACAATGGGAAAAGTGAGAGAAGTTGACAACGGTGCCGACGTTCAGCATGTCCTGTGGTACTTGGTTTCTCTTTTGACCAGATACAAGTAGATGCGGAGTGCAAATTTTTCATATTTCTCCTTCGACTAAGGTGAGTGAGGTCCTGATGTGGTACTTAGTTTCTCTTTTGATCATGGATTAAGTATCAAAACTGCAGCAGGTAAGTAACTGCCTTTTCATTATCCCTGTGACATTGATTCAGTTTTTTTTTTTTCCTCGTTTCCAGTCTCATTTTTGACTGTTACTGGTATAAGCGTTTCTTGTGGTTTCATATGCTTTTGCTTTGAGATGGCTTATTCTGCGGTGGTTTCTCTCTTGCAATCACTAGAGCATCTATTGCGATTCCCATGTCTGATTCTAGAAATTAAGCAAATGCAAGCCAAAGCTTTCAATGGCAAAGTTGACAAGGCCCTAAACCTTTCCAGAAGAACCTCCACTATGTCCAAGGTTCATCTAAGGACATTAATCGCAACAACTGAACCTCTAGCATTGACTGTAGGAGAATTTATCGAGACAGTTAATACTCATAAGCTAGTATAAAAAATTTTTGAGATATTGTAAAACATGTTTTTGGTTGAGCATAGATCACCAGCAAGAATGTTGGAAAAATGTCCCAAAGTACTGGAAGAAATGGGTCATTTTAGGGCAGAGCTGATGAAATTGCTCGGTAGGACAACATATCCCCACAACAACAGGGTGGGAGAACATTCAAGACAACCTTCTCTTGCCTGGGTGGTAAAATTGCTGCAGGCCAGTGACAAACTCAGACATGCCATAACCATTTCCCATAGAATGGCCATGGAGATAACAGTTCTTTGCCAGGATCTACGATATTTGCTAAGTTTTCTTGAGAGTTCTTCAAATGAATTCCTCGGTGATCACCAAGTAGTGAAAAGTTTAAGAGATCTCGCTAACAAGGCCGGAGATATTGTTGATGATTATCTGTTTGATAATCCAATAAAGTCAAAGATCATTGAATTCATACATGCAACACTCGGTGATCAAAGAGAATCACTGATAGGGATTCATTACGTCCGGAAAGTAGTTAGGAAATTCTTTGATGGAGAGAGTGGGATTTGTCAAGGTTTGTTGCAGACACTGCAGATTGCTCGTTCAGTTAGACAAATGATGAGGAAGATGTATGGTAAAAGAGGTGGTGGCAAGGAATATTTGCAGTCAGGAAATGCTTCACTCAGGGGCTCATTACAGCATGATTCAAATAAGCAACATATTGTGGTTGGCCTTGATGACTACTTGGGTAGAATGCTGGACCAAATTACTGGATTTCCATCTAGACTAGAAATCGTCACGATTGTTGGGATGGGTGGCATCGGTAAAACAACACTTGCCAAAAACATCTTTGATCATCCTTACACCACTTATCACTTCTATTGTCGTGCATGGGTTGTAGTTTCCCAAGTTTATCAAGTGAGGGATTTGTTATTAGGCATTTTGAGCTCTGTTAGTCAACTCAGTGCTGAAACCTATTCAAAAACCAATGATCAATTAGCTGAGGTCTTGTATAGAAGTTTGAAGGGCAGGAGATATCTAATTGTCATGGATGATATGTGGAGTGCTAAGGCTTGGGGTGATGTCAAAAGATCTTTTCCAAATGATAAAAATGGAAGTCGAGTAATAGTAACTACTCGGTTAACGGATGTGGCTATCTATGTCAATCCAAAAACGCCTCCTCATTTTATGAGCCTGCTAAGCATAGAAGAAAGCCGGAAATTGATGGGAAATATATTGTTTGGAGAAGAAGGTTGTCCTCCGGAGTTGGTAGATGTTGGAAAATATATAGCCAAAAGGTGCCAAGGCCTGCCACTTTCTATTGTTGTTGTTGCTGGTCTTCTTTGCAGTGTCACGAGAACACTTGATTCCTGGAGGGCAATAGCAAGCAGCATTAGTTCATTCCTATGCACTGACGCTGAACATTGTCTAGAAATGCTTGCTTTAAGTTACAACCACCTACCCCCTTACTTGAAAGTCTGCTTCCTGTATATGGGGGCTTTCCCTGAAGATTGTGAAATTGAAGTGCAAAAATTGATCCATTTATGGATAGCCGAGGGCTTCTTGGATCGAAAAGTTCTTGAACACCCAGAAGCAGTGGCTGTGGATTACTTGGAAGACCTCATTGGCAGAAGCTTAGTTTTGGTTGGAAAAAGGAGTTTTGATGGAAAAATCAAAACATGCATCCTCCATGATCTTTTGCGGGAACTGTGCTTAAGAGAAGCTCAGAAAGAAAACTTCTTGTCTGTGATAAAAGGTTTTTCTGCAGGTATCGCTGATCAGCGCCGTCTCAGTCTCCACAAGGACTCTTATCTTGATGTTCACTTGGCACCTGAAATACCATATGTCAGATCATTTCTGTATTTTGATGTGGGTTCTGGCTTTGAACCAGACATCTTATTCTTCCAGTTGGGCTTTAAATTGCTAAAAGTATTGGATGTGATTTTTCTGCGATTTGAAACTTTCCCTGTTCAAATACTAGAACTGGTTAATTTGAGTTACCTTGGACTGATGGTCACTTTTGAGCTTCCCAAAATGTTATCTAGACTCAAGAATCTGCAAACATTAGTGATTCATGGTCCCTGGACTAGCACAGATTATGCTGAGTCCCCAAATTTGTTGTTTGAATATTGGAGTATGCCAAAGTTAAGGCATCTCTATATTACTGTTGCTTGCTGTTTAAGAAGTCCTTCTGTCAAAATGGATATTAGTTTAAGGCCATTCACTTCAAAATGCATCCAAACTGTGTCCAGAATTAGATTTGCAAGCTGCACCAGGGAAGTTTTCATCAGCATGCCTTCTCTACGGATGTTAGCATTGTCAGAAACCAAGGAAGACTATGAGATGGATTGGTCAGCCAAATGCCTAAAAGAGCTTTTCTATTTGCAAGAACTTGAACTTTTGAAGCTATACTTCTACAGGGAAAGTACAAAAATACGGAGAATCTTGTTTTGGGATGCTTTGCCAGCTAATCTCAGGAAATTGACCATAAGTTGGAGCTATCAACCATGGCAGAATATGATCTCCATTGCCTTGTTACCCAAACTGGAGGTGCTCAAACTGAAAAATTATGCTTTCCAAGGGCCGAAGTGGGAACCAAATGAAGGGGGCTTTCGTGTTCTGAAGCACTTGCTGGTTGAGATGACTGATCTAGTGTCATGGGTGGCCACAAGCAATCACTTTCCACGTCTTGAGTATCTAGTTCTCAAGTCTTGCAAGTACCTGAAAGAGGTTCCCCATGGTATTACAGAAATTTCTACCCTGAAGCGGATAGAGTTGCACAACTGTAGTGAATCTGCAAAAATTTCTGCTACAAGTATTGAAGTTGAAAGCCTTGATGTTGTCATCAAAAGCGATAGGTAAGTCTTTATTTGCATTTAGAATCACTTTGATTGAAACTTGCAGTTTATGAAGTTTATATTGACGCACCATTCCCGCACTTGCATTTCCTGACATTGTATGGATTGCATGTATCTGTGATGTCTCCAAAATCATGTCACAGATTTCAGCACTCTGCATAAAGGGAAGCTTTGAGCTGCGGCTTGCAATTTCGATTTCCCACCTGATCTGGAATTGCTTCTTGTCATCCATCTTGCTGAGGCTTCTCGTAAATGCTGCATAAGAGAGTGGAAGGCCAGCCCCGCTCCATCGGATGAAAGCGTTTCAAGGTCTTGGCATGTGCCTCGTTTATTTTATCTTGAAATTGATCTGAGATTTTCTCCTAGTCCTAGGTAACGATTGAGCAGGTAGCTTCTAATGCATCTTGTTGAATATGAATGGACAAGAATCAAATGAATCCCATTTGGTTAGGAATGCTTATATTTTTGACATTGAATAAACACAATCCTTTAGTTCTTGTGGTGCCTCCCAAGTGAACTGATATCAATTTTCACTTGTTTTATTACTCATCTTGATGCGTTTGAAGTAATCATCTAGTGCATGTAAACAAAAATTCGTCAAACTCTCTCAAAGTTCGCAAAATTGCTTGTTCCCTTGCAGGATATCTTTTAATCTTATACAGGGTTTTACAATAAAAAAGTTAATATGTTCGTTTAACATCAACTCCTCTGTCTCTTGATCTTTTGTATCAGCAATATACACTATTTAAAGCTGTTTGATTTTGAGAAACAGGTTAAAATGGGTTAAGCATTACTTATTTCTGTTGTCAATTTTCATTCCACGAGGTCAGTCCCAGAAAAGCGAGCAGAGGCATTTCGGTTTCAGCTCCTATTACAATGTTCAGTGTATCGTATAAACTGCTTGTACTCCTTCCATTCCCATTTACGTTTCGCAGTCAACTTTGCATATCAGCAACCAAAACACATCAACTAACATTTGATCAGTTGATGAAAATTGTCAAGAGAAGTGTCAGAAATAGTAGAACAGATTGGTTTAATTGGGAATAAGCTGGAGAAATTTCTTGATGAAACTGACTTGTACAACTCCTGGGAAGATTTATGCAACAATTTATTGTTCCTACCTGCCCGTGAGGCAGTAAGAGCTCTACTTGAGGCTAGTCAAGAATTCAAAGATGCCATAAACTTTTTCCATGAAGTAGGTAGGTACTGAATCAGCTGTACTCTGCCTGTATCTTCAGTTCTTGCTTAGGTTCTTTGGAGCTTTGCAAAGTGAGTGTCCAGATGAATCAAGGAAGTTGTGAATAAAGCACTCGATGCTGTAAACCGTCCAAAGGAAGAAGAAAGTGTCATCGTGAGAAGACAAGCACGTCCATTGCCAATTGACATAGTGATGTGGACCACGCGATTGACAAATTCTTGGAGAAGAGGAACTACATCTACATGAAGAAAGAAGGAAAGAAGCAATGCGTTTGAAGTTTTCTGAATATCGAACTTAACTTTTTCTACACACAGACAGACTACTTTTCCTTCCTCGAAAATGCATAATGACAGACTACGTGTATCTTCTGTAACGCATGATGAGCCTACAAAATGTTCTATTGAAAATTAAAAGTCAGGCTAGAGTAACTCCTTGGAGAATACTAAGCTATGCTGCTGATGTTCTACAACTGCAATGTGATTGCATACAGCAATTGATAGAGCCGTTATTTGGCACGATTTGCACTGTCATCTTGTCCTAATTTTGGCTATTCATGGTGCTAAGAAAGGGGATTTCACTCATATTTGACATTTGCGTGAATTGTAGGTGGTTAGCATTAAAAAGATATCGCGGGAAAATATTTCCAGAAGACTTGTCGTCCCAGAGCGTGACCACGCCTTGGAAGGTGGACGAAACCGAAATACGGACCGTGGTCCATGTGGACCAGGCGCATGGGATCAAAACTCAATGGGGGAAATAGCTTTTGGAGATTGAATTGTACCAGACGTGTGGGCTTTGGACTGTGAATTGCGGCGGCTATAAGAGAAAAAGAAAAGCAAGATTCAGAGGAACTTTTTTAGGCTTAGCTTTAATTTTCCTCTTCTACCCCTTGTCAGCCGCCACTTTGGCGGGGCTTTGTTTTTTTCCCTTTCTTGGTCGGCAACAGAGACGACAGAAATTAGGTAGCTAGAGTTTTCTTTTGCTTTCTGCGGCTCTGGTGCCAGACGCTTTCTCCTGTTCTTTTTCTTTTTACTTTTGTTCGCCTGTGGCTAGCGGCCAGGCATTGAATATTCTCGCGGATTGCATCTGGGCTCCGTAGAACGGAGACCCTGTTTACTTTTTGCCTTTGACTCTTCAAAATTCTGTGAGATTACTCTTGTGCTTTTCCAATTCTTCGGCAATTAATTGAATGAATTCAATTAAATCACGTGGGATTGACACGATGAGGAGCGGCTAATTTTCTCCTCTACCCAAAGGTTGACGCGAAGGCGCGGTCCATAATATCTGTGAGATCTAATCGAATCTTCATTATTTCTCCCAATTTATTGTTATTCGTGCATTTCCTGAATTAATTGTTCATGGGTATTTGATTAATTGAATATCAACGGCCGGGTATTTGATTTAATTTAATAGCCTACTGCCACGTTAATTAAATAGAATCCGTAATTGTTCGTTTAGTTAACACCTCGTGGCAACCACCATAATTGGTTTTATGATGGGGAAATGCAAGATCTAATTTAAATAAACCCTCTTAGCGTGTTTATTAGTTAGGGTTGGGTTCTTCTAGTTTTAATGCAATTGGGTAATTAAATTCCTACGGTCGTACCTAGGGTTGTTATCTGGTTAGAGAAGCAGTCAATGGTCGTACCTTGACTGTCGAAAAAGTAAGGAAGAGCTGGTTGTCAGAGCTTATTGATGGCTATAACCAACCTGGTGATAAATGGGTGAAATATCTTTGCATCGATGAGCATTTAAAAGGACCGTGCCTGAGCAGTTGATCCTTTGGGTAGAACTTTTGTTAATTGCTATTTTTAGTGAATTGAGCTTTGTGAGTTAGTTTTGAATTTAGTTCGTTTTGTTTGTTTTACTTTTATTTTATTTTTATTTGCCTCCCATTGAAAATCCCCCAATTTTGTTCTGCTGATTTGGAAAGAAATAATTTCCTACCTGCTCCCTGTGGAATCGACCCTACTTGCCATTGTACGCAAAATTAGTATTTTTATAGATAAATCCGGTATATCGGATCAAGCAAACTCTTCGGGAACAGGGTGAATCAAGTAACCCATTGCACACCTAGGGTCCCTGCTCCAGTACTTGGATTTGTTCTATAATTATTTAATTGATGTGGTAGTTAGGACTTTTTAGTAATTATTATTGCACAGGTTCGGCACCTGTCAGCAATGCTCCTTTATTTTAAGGGGGCTGACTTCATATGAATCAGGAATGGATATCTGCCTATTTTCCTTCTTCTCAAAAGTTAAAAAGAACGATTTCTTCTTCTTTTGATTTCTGTGGACAAAGGAAAAGCAAAAGCACCATTTCTCGCAGTTGGATGTGAAAAGCTAAAATGAAGCATTTTGCATTAGAATATCTTCTCTACCAAATTTTCTCACATATCATATCAATCTCTCCTGCTGTGATGGCATGAAACCCTCCTAACGCCTCCAACAAAACCAAGCGGAAACCTTCATTATTACCATAAAAAAAAAAAAAAAATTTCTGGCCATCTCATCAATGGAATGCTTCTTGGCCTTTCCTGATCTGGTAGAATAACCCCAGAATACATCTTTGAATTTTCAAAAACGCGAGATGAGACGATCTTCTGTCAAACAGCTTGCAGCATCAAGTGTTTTTTTTAACGACATCCCTGATGCTTTTGACCAATTCAGGTGAACATTCGCACTGCAATTCTCTCAAGAACCTAAGCATGATGGTCGCCTTGAGTTCATGACTAGCCTGAAGCATCGCTCTTACTGCCACACGAGACGGTAGTAACGCTAAAATGTTGGGTAAATCACCCCAGGCGTTGTACAAGTCAGTGTCATTAAAAATGCTTCACTTTCAATAAGTTACTTCTCAACCAAAAAAAAAAAAATCAATAAATTATAATATTATATATATAAGATATTAAATATATAATATAATATAAGATATAAGATATATAATATAATGATAATTTTGTTACGTGAGTTTATCCCATTTTTTTTGTCATGGCATGTTGTTAAATAATAATTGACTGAGAATTTATGTAATATCAAATATAAAAACACAGATCCATGTGATTAAAATAATTTTTAAATTTTATCTCATGTTAAATTTTTTGCTAAATCTATTATCATTAGTGTTATACATATATAAAAATAAAGTCACGTAAAAAGTAAAGTAAAAGTGGGGATTGGGGCACCAGTGGCGTGGCGGATGGAGCGGAAGGCGGAGGAATTTTTTAGGTAATAGAACGGATCCCAACTAGGGCTGGAAACGAATCGAGTCGCTCGCGAGCGGCTCGAGTCGAGCTCAAGTCGAGCTCGAGCCGGCTCGAGTCAAACTCGAGTTCAGAATATTAAGCTCGTTAGCTCGCGAGCCGGCTCGCGAGTTTGAGTATATATATATATATATTTTTATTTTTATTTTTATTTAATAATAAAATTACTTATATTATATATATTTTTTTATTTTTTATTTTCATAGTAAAATTACGTATATATCCTTAATATTTTATTATTTATTCAAAAAAATATTATTTTATTTATTTTTTTAAAAATAAAATAATTATTTTTTAATTTTTTCGAGCTCAAGCTCGAGCTCGAGCTTGGCTCGACTTGATTCGAGTCGAGCTCGAGCTTAAAAATTACCGGCTCGTCGAGCTCGGTAAAATTTAATCGAAACTCGGTTCGATTAGCTCAAAACTCGACTCGATCCGGCTTGTTTGTAGCTCTAGTCCCAGCTACGCAGACGCTGCCAAGTAGGGGTGGGCACGGGTCGGGTACCCGCCCCTAACATGATTTGGCTGACCCGACCCTAATATGTCGGATCAGCCATTTTGCGACCCTAACCCGCTCCTAATATTTTCGGATACCCGAATAGCGGGTACCCGAAAAAAAGGGGCGGGTACCCGAAAAAAAGGGGCGGGTCATAGGGTACCCACCCCTAAAAAAAACTATTTTTCAATAAAAAAAAATTTATTTTCTACTTAATATCAACATGTTTTTCAATAAAGAAACATGCTTTTCCAATTAATATTGGTAGAGATATTGTAATTAAAGTCCATACATCACCATTTTCACACATTTCATCCAATAATCAAATCGATCTCATAAATTTAGTACATATTAGAATATCTAATGGACAAAACGAAGTTTCATAATAATTTTGAGTACATCACCATTTTCACACATTTCATACTTCCACAACACAACAAACACAAGGATAATAAGTATTTGGTAACTTCCCCAAGGATATTATGGTACAAGACCGCATCTCAAATAAGTCAATTGTGAAATCAAGTTCGGAAAAGAATTGAATAGAACTAATTATTTTTGAAAAAAATATAACCAAAATAATGTTAAAAATCTTCCCCAACTTCTTTACAACTTTGGAATAGACCTTATGGTATTAAGGTAATGAAAAAGAAAAATAAATTTCTTACACTAAATAAAAGAGACAAATTTAAGAGATATAATTGCAAATGAATGACACAAATATTTTAATTATCTAGCTAACAGAAAATTGAGACTCTAAACAAAAATCTTTGATTGAATTGATACAAGATTTGCAGGAAAGATCGATGCAGGTAGAATAAAAATAAAAAAGATGAAAGGGATGAACAATTTTTATAACAGAGTTTCACAAATTTTTTTTTTCATTTTGTTCATGTTTCACCGAGAATATTCACTTTCTTCAAAAAAAATGAGAAGAGTAGATCATATAGGATTAGAATATGAGGCTGCGAGCCACTTCACTTGCACTTAGGATTAAAAATTACAAAATTATAAAATGATCCCTACTTTTTTAATATTTATAAAATATACCCTGCGGGTCGGGTACCCGCGGGTTTTTATTTTTCTGATCCATATCCGTACCCGATTTTTCGGGTACCCGACCCTCATCTGCCCCGCTAAAAAAAATCGGATCGGATATCCTATTTTTCGGATCCGATCGGATATCCTATTTTTCGGATCGGATCGGATCGGATTCATCGGGTTTTCGGATCGGCGGGTTTTTTTGCCCACCACTACTGCCAAGCGTAAGTGTATCCTGTTTTGATTGAAGCTAAAAAGTGCGCCTAAATGCTAAATTCCCCGGGAAACCGGGGCTAAAGTTGTAATGTGAATTTGGCTCTTTGTGGACTGAAGTTTGAATAGAGTTGACCAGTGGGCTCCAAAGAAAAGCTCCCCGCTTTCATGGTTTCTTGTCTACTACCGGTAGTAAATTTTCCGATCAGCCGCGACCAGAAAGCTTCTTCTACTTCAAAATTGAACTATTGGTACGATCTTTTTTTGCTTTTAGTAATTCTTTGATCTTACTCTTTGGATTTCTTCTTTCTTGAAATCAGATAACTAATGGAGCTGTTCCATCCTGTTGATCAGAGATGGCGACTTATGCTGCACTGGCTTCTCTTCTGCAAACGCTGGATTATCTACTGAAGTTCCCGTTGTTGATCCTCGAAGTTAAGAAAATGAAAGCCGAAGCTCTCAAACCAAAACTCGATGAACTCTTATTGCTTTTGACGGCAGGAGAACCCTCCGCAGTGTGGAGCTCGGGCTCCGGCTCTTGTCTGTGGGAGCTAATTGAAGAAACTGATCGATCTCTGCAATCATCAGTAGAAGATTTTATTGAGGCACTTGGGAGGTCTCATGCAGCTGATACTTCGGAGATCAGACAAAGATTGCTACTCTACTTTACTAGTAGTACAAAGCCAAAATCTGAACTTCTTGCGGAGGGAAAGCCTCAGATATTCAAGGAGATCACATCCTTTGAGGAAAATTTGAGGAAATTTCTCCACAGCACTGTCCAAGACTGCTTGTCAGGCAGGCCTAACCATTTCTTGTACCGATATGGCCATGTGGAAGAGGATCTAAATCCTCGAGAATTGCCAGATTTTTTTATACAAATTGTATATTCTCAAGTAGACAGTGAAACACCAGTAGTTGATTCCCCGTTCTCCTCACCAAGCAGTGAGACTGATGACCCCTACGTCGACAAACTTGACTCGACCGTACAACATTCAAATGGAACCATCTCCTTTCCAGACCTTGAACAGCTGTTGTCGTTGGCATTTCGCCAGAGCCAACTTCCAGTAATTGTTAACAAGATGGGACATTTGTGGAGAACCTGTCGTCGGGTCGATGACAGCATCACTAGCTTCTCGAAAGCCACTTCCGATTTAACAACTCTCCACCAGGATATTCGGTTCTTGCTAACCTTTCTTAAGGAGGATTCTTCTAATATATTCTGCCCTCATCATGAATTGCTGAAATGTATGAAAGATGTTGCAGATAGAGCAAGGGTTCCTGTCGAACAATGTATGGTAGACTACCAAATCGAGTCCATTATAACGTACCCCTTTTGCTTATTGGCTGGGATTCCTGCAAAATTACAAGACTCTGGAAAGATTCTTGAGTGTGCAGTGGACAGGATTTTCTACGGAAAGAAGGGCATTTGCCAATATTTGGTGCAGGCATCAATGCAGATTCAACCCATTAAAGAAATGATTACAAAGATAAACGATGAGAGTTCCAGTGCGCACACATCAATTAGCAGCATATCTCTACGCCATTTAAATAAGGACGACATTGTGGTGGGTCTTGATGATGAACTGGTTAGCCTCCTGGAGGGACTCACCAGAGTGCCATCAGGGCTAGAAATTGTGACCATTTTAGGGATGGGCGGCATTGGTAAGACAACTCTTGCTCGAAAAGCTTTTCGCCATTCTTACACTGAATATCACTTCTATTGCCGTGCATGGATCACAGTTTCCCAAGTATATCAAGTCAGAGATTTGTTACTGGGCCTTTTGGGCTGTCTTGGTCACTCCACTGATAAATTGGTAGAGAAAAACGACGCTCAATTAGCTGAAGTTGTGTATAGAAGTTTGAAAGGTAAGAGGTACTTGATTGTTATGGATGACATATGGAGTATCGATGCTTGGAATGACGTCAAAAGATGCTTTCCTGATGACAAAACTGGTAGTAGAATCTTATTAACCAGCCGCGTTACAGAGTTGGCTAGCTACATCAATGCAAAGAAGCCTCCTCATTGTATGAGTCTTCTGGATACTGAGCAGAGTTGGGAACTGTTGGAGAAGCTTGTATTTGGGATAGCAAGTTGCCCGCCTGAATTGGAGAAATATGGAAAGCTTATAGCTAAAAGATGCCAAGGACTACCACTAGCAATTGTTGTAATGGCTGGTGTTCTTTCACGTGCCGTCAGGACATGTGACTGTTGGAATAATTTTGCAGAGAAGGTATGCGCAATCATCTCCACTAATCCAGAAGAATGCCTGGATATACTTGCTTTGAGTTACAATTATTTGCCCCATCATCTCAAAGCCTGCTTCCTCCATATGGCGGCTTTCCCTGAAGACTGTGAAATAGAAGTTCAAAAGTTGATTAATCTATGGGCTGCAGAGGGATTCTTGGATCCCCAATCTTCAGAAAATCTAGAACAGGTGGCAGAGGAGTATTTGGAAGACCTTATTGGTAGAAACTTAGTTTTCATTGAAAAGAAGTGTTTTGGAGGAAAAGTCAAGACCTGTCGTCTCCATGATTTCTTACGTGAATTATGCTTGAGAGAAGCACAGAAAGAGGACTTCATGCATGTGATACAAAAGAGAGGTACCAAACGCTCTCGAGTAGGCTTGCGTAATCAGCATCGCCTCAGTTTCCATTTGGATCCTTACAGTGATGTGGCTGCGGCACCTGGAATCCCACACGTCTCGTCTTTTATGTGTTTCACATTGGGTACTAATATTGTTCCGAATATTCTGTTCTTTCAATTAGGCTTTAAGGTGCTTAGAGTATTAGACATATTCTTTCTGCATTTTGATTACTTCCCTGCCCGAATACTAAAACTGATTCATTTGAGGTATCTTGCGCTGAGTGCTACTTATGAGCTTCCTGCATCAGTATCACAACTAAGGAATCTCCAAACGTTGGTGATTCATGGTCCATGGCACTGCCGGGAGTCTGGCAGTAGCCCAACATTGTTACTGGAGTATTGGAGCATGCCTTCATTGAGGCATCTCCAGTGTAGTGTGACCATTTATTTGAAGAATCCTCCTGGAGCTAATAGTGAACTCCCTCAGCTATTTGTTCCAAAAAACCTACAAACTCTCTCTACCATCAAAATTTCATGCTGCACAAAGGAAGTTTTCAGTGTCATGCCCCATCTCAAGAAACTTGAAATTTGTGAGACAGAAGAAGACTGCGGCATATGTGAGCCATCTGTATTACTTGGGAATCTACAGTACTTGAAAGAGCTTGAAACACTTGAGTGTTGCTTCTACAAACAAAGAGTAGAAGCGCGGCAAATATCATTTTTTTCTGCCCTGCCATGTTCTCTTAGGCAATTGAGTTTAAGTTGGAGTTATTTGCCATGGGAAGACACGAGCTTGATTGGCATGTTACCCAGACTTGAGGTGCTCAAACTCAAACATTTTGCTTTCCATGGACCTAAATGGGAGCCAAAGGCTAATGGTTTTTGTCGTCTGACACACTTGCTGATTGAGAACACTGATTTGGTCCATTGGGAAGCCGCAGTTCATCACTTTCCACGCCTTCAATATCTAGTTCTGAAGTCTTGCAAGCTCTTAGAGGAGATCCCTTTTGATGTGGAGGAAATTGGTACCCTGCAGCGAATTGAGCTGCATCACTGTAACAGAACTACCGAGATATTAGCTAGAGAAATTCAAGAACAGGTTGAAGGCATCGAAGTTGTTATTAGAAGTGAGCAGTAAGTGAAAATTCTTGTCTAATTTCCGACGAACATTGGTGCAAATGGTTGCAATTTCATTTGAGTAGCGTTGTGCTGTCTTTCCCTGCACCTGTTGTTGTTAATTGACATATTGTTATACGTCTTCGATTGGTTTATGAAGCTACTTATTTCCTTCTGGTGTCTGTGACAGGAATCCAGACCGTGCATAAGAAGAAAATTCAGTTCCTCTTTTTGAGGTGGACTTCCCACTCCATCTCAACTTCTCTGCTGCTCTTTTCTCTTCTACAAGGCATTGTGTAAGCATTTAACAATGCATTGAATGCGCAGCCTCTGATTAATTTATGTGCATGGGGAAATTTAGAACTGTGTATGATCTTGGTCAGCAGCTGACAAATTGCTTCCATTCTTCATTATATTTTTTCTTTCAGTATTGCTACGTTTGTGTCTCTCAATTTATCAATTTTACTGAGAAGAAACTAGTTTCATTATGATTATCATGGATGATATGAGGTCCTTTCACAATATATTTGCTTGATGATCTTCTTGTGCATGCTCTTCTGCTTTGAAATGATAATCGTGCATGTGTTCATCCGATTTTTGGTCGCCGATGATCCAAGGTTGTGCATGTTACCTCAACACCATGATACAGTGCCGATTGAACATTGGCTGGGTGTAAGTTATCAGTCCAGTACCAGGAAATTGGGAGGTTTATAGCTTTCTGCATAGTTTCCAGAAAATAAATTTGCTTTGGAAATTCAATGCGAAAATATCCTTCTTGTCTTAGATAGCAAAGTTACCAGTTAGGCAACTTCTAATTCGTTTTTAATATTGGTTAGGAGCTAGGAGCTTCCATAACTAAGACACCTTTCTATTCCCCAAGAGCAGCTTCCCAGAATAAATGGCTGCAATATACGAATAAAGTCCCATCCCATCATCTGATGATACATTAATAGTCCTGCACTTGAAGTTCTCACACCCGCAACTATTTCTAAGATTCTGCCATAATATCCTATATCCGAAGTTGGGAATCTCTTGTGAGTGGTATAGAAAAGTGTACTGTGGTTCTGGGAAGCAATGGTTGAATATGGGGATATGAAAGAAAGGCCCTGCTCTTGCGATTGGAGGAGGAGTATTAGAAACTGCTATCTCTGAGACGTTTCCGTATCACCTCAGCCAAAAATTTAGGATTCCTACCATTTTTGTGAGCTGGTTCCTTAGGAACCTGGACAAGATTCACATCTCAGAATCATTTCGGTCTTCCAGGACCTTGATTGGTGGTTGCTCCCGAAGTTTCATTCCATCCCTTGATATCTTAAAAAAGACTGGCAACATGTGAAGCCTACAGGGACATTTCATCCAAATGCCTAACGATCTTGTCCACTTCAGTCTCTTGTGGGGCGATAACCGTGGTGGGAAGAGAGATGTTAGTTTGGTGCTAAACTTTTATAGTTCGATCAGAGTATAATTGAGGAGAACAAAGTGCACTTAATCCAAAAATGAAAACAATAATGAGTCAGGTCCAACCCAATCAGTCAAACTTTTCTCTATTTTCCTCGATTTAAAATAAGAGTAATAATCACTTGCATTAATTTTTATTTTGGTCTCCGAATTTGGAAATAATACGTTTTGGCCTTTAAAGTATAAATGTGTTACACTTTAATTCCTAAAGTATAAAATTGGTTTCATCTTAATCCTCTTAAATAGAAAATCTATCCCACTTTAGTCCATAAAATATAAAATTTATTCCACTTAAATATAAAATTTGAGGTAAATCTTCCATACATTGTATCCTAGTGGAGTTTGATGCATTCCATACATGAAAAATTTGGAATTCAAAGTCAACTTCAGATATGTTTGGATTGCTATTTTCTGGAATTTTGCGTAAACATATACTACAGCGATTTGATATATGCGAGGCAAAAAGGTGATTGAAAAATTTGTTCATAAAAAACGTAAAAATTTTTTGAGGGGAAAATGACTTTTCAAATAAAGTGCCATGCATGACCTATTCGTGTGTACACAAATAATGTAAGATCTCATTGAAAGAAAAAGACAATGTAAGAAAAATTAATCTATGAAATCTATTTCATTTCCCCCAATGATTTTACTTAAATAGGACAAACGTTTTTATATTTAAGGAACTAAGGCATCTCATTTCAAAGTATAGAGATGAAAGTGAAATTTCGGGTAAAATTAAATAATGTAAAGTGAAATTAACTCCTAAAACAATAAAAGGATGGATTTCTAAAGGCACCAAAAATGAGGCCTCAACCACGGTCAATATTTGCCCCCACAAAAATTAAAAGCTATCCAAACACACTCTTATAATAATATGTTATCCACACAGTATAGCAAACAACTGTATCCCAGCACTTGACCAGAAGACTCTCCTTGGGTTGACTACTATACTTAAAATCTGATCATTCTATTCTTCTTAGGTAAGTATCTCCGATCAGTCAAAAACTTTTCTGTTTTTATGACAATAAGGGATCATTCATTTTTCTGAATTCTGATTGTGTTCCGCTTCTCTGCTACTGGTGACTGGTGAGTGTTATCCTAACAACTTCTCTTCCATTTTTTTTCTACGCCGATCAGTCGAAAGGGGTTCATTTTTGCCTTTTGATTGCTCTGTTAGGTGCTTATGTTCAACACGTTTTTCTTTTATCCCGAATACATGCTTATCCCGTCTCTACTGGATATTTTAAACCAAAAAATTCTCCTTTTTATGGGGGAAAAGTTCTCTTTAAACTGTGGTCAAGAGTGCCTTAGATGGAAAGAAGGGCATTCGTCGAGGTTTAGTTCATGCATTACAGGATGTTCAATCTATCAAGAGAATGACTACAAATATAGATGATAAGAGTCTAAGATTGCAGGGATCAAGCATCAGGAAAGCACCACTTAGTTCGAATAAGGAGGATATTGTGGTAGGTCTTGATGCTGAGCTGACGACTATCTTGGAGGGGCTCACTGGACTGCCAGGACTAGAAATAGTGACAATTTCTGGGATGGGCGGCATTGGTAAGACAACTCTTGCTAGAAAAGCTTTTAATGATCCTTATATTGTTTATCACTTCTATTGTCGTGCATGGATAACAGTATCCCAAGTCTATCAAGTGAGAGATTTGTTACTAGGCCTTTTGAGCTCCATTGCACGGTCCGCTGATAAAATGGTTGAGAAGAGCAAAGCTCAATTAGCTGAAGTTGTATACAGAAGTTTGAAAGGTATGAGGTATATGATTGTTATGGATGACATGTGGAGTATTGATGCTTGGAATGATGTCAAAAGATGTTTTCCTGATGACAAAAATGGAAGTCGAATAGTAGTTACAACTCGGTTCATGGAGTTAGCAACAAATGTGAGTCCCAAAAAGCCACCTCATTGCATGAACCTTCTGAGTGCAGAACAAAGATGGGAACTATTGGAAATGCTCATCTTCGGGACAGCAAGCTGCCCCCAAGAATTGGTAGGAGTTGGAAAAAAAATAGCTAAGAGATGCCGGGGATTACCTCTAGCTATTGTCGTTGTTGCTGGTGTTCTCTCACGTGTCATCAGGGAATACAATTATTGGAATAATATTGCAGAGGAGGTTAGCTCAGTTGTTTCTACTGATCCAGAAAATTGCTTAGATATACTTGCTTTGAGTTACAATTACTTGCCCCATCACCTGATAGCCTGCTTCCTCTATATGGGGATTTTCCCTGAAGATTGTAAGATTGAAGTTTCAAAATTGATTAATTTATGGGCTGCAGAGGGCTTCTTATATTTGGATTCTGAGAAACAGTTGGAACAGATTGGAGAGGATTACTTGGAAGACCTTATCGGCAGAAGCTTAGTTTTGGTTGAAAAGAAGCGCTTTGGGGGGGAAGTCAAAACTTGTCGCCTCCATGACTTCTTACGGGAATTGTGCTTGAAAGAAGCTCAAAAGGAGAACTTCATGCATGTCATACAAAGGAGAAGTGCCAAAGGTGTTCAAACAGGCATGCGTAATCAACGTCGTCTGAGTTTCCATTTGGATCCCTACAGTGATGTGTCTGCAGCACCTGCAATCCCACATGTCTCATCTTTTCTGTGTTTCACACTGGGTGCTAATATAGTACCTGATATTCTATTCTTTCAGTTAGGCTTTAAGTTGCTTAGAGTATTGGACATATTCTTTCTGCATTTCGATTACTTCCCTGATCAAATTATAAAACTGATACATTTGAGGTATCTTGCGCTCAATGTTACTTATGAGCTTCCTGCCTCAGTTTCCCAATTGAGGAATCTCCAGACCTTAGTCATTCATGGTCCATGGCTTTGTCGGGAATCTGGCGGTAGCCCAACATTGTTACTGGAGTATTGGAATATGCCTTCACTGAGGCATGTGCATATTACTGCAGCTTGTCATCTAAAGAATCCTTTCACTGTACAAGATAACCTTCCTCGTCCATTTGCTTCAGAACACCTGCAAACTCTCTATACAATACAATTTTCATGTTGCACAAAGGAATTTTTCAGTGTCATGCCCCATCTTAAGAAACTGGGAATTTGTGAAACTAAAGAAGACTACAGCACAGACAGTTTGTCACAAGTCCTAAATAATCTTGTTTGCTTGCAAGAACTTGAAACCCTGGAGTGTTCCTTCCACGCACAAAATAGAGAAGTGCGAAAGAATTTGGGCTTGGCTGCTTTGCCAGTTACTCTTAAGCATTTGAGTTTGAGTTGGAGTTACTTACCATGGGAAGATATGACCTTTATTGCCATGTTGCCCAACCTTGAGGTGCTTAAACTCAAAAATTATGCTTTCCAAGGGCCAAAATGGGAGCCAACTGAAGAAGGTTTTCATAGTCTAAAGCACTTGCTAATTGAAAACACTGATTTGATCCATTGGGAAGCAATAATAGTTCGCCACTTTCCATGCCTTCAACATCTTGTTCTGAAATCATGCAAGCTCTTGGAGGAGATCCCTTTTGGTGTTGAGGAACTTGGTACCCTGCAGCGGCTTGAGGCCCACTATTGTAGTGAACCTATTGAGAATTCTGCTAAAGAAATTCAAGAACAGATTGAAGGCATTGATGTTATTATCAGAAGTGATCGGTATGTTAAACACTCTCCTTGTATGATTCTTGACTTGTGATCTTTTACTTGCATCTGATAGTTTGAACTTCAGTTAAGACGGAAGCACTTTGATTCAAATGGTTTATGTCTGAGATTCGAGTAGTTATGTCTTTTCCTGCGCCTAATATTGCTAATGTCATTCTTTTCTTTCCTTCTGTCTATGAAGCTACTTATTTTTCTTCCCCTTTTTGTAACAGGAATCCAGACTCTGCATAAGGAGTGCTATCAATTCTTCTCTCTCTCTTAATATCCAATGTTTACAACTTCTTCATTTCCAACTTTCTTTCCAAATAACCATTTGTAGGACTTCGCTCTCTTGTGGCAAATGCACTGTGACTGCCAAATGCATATTCATGGTTTTAGTCTTCAGTTAGGATTTGACAAGTTGGTACTCCCATTCTACGTCTTCTTGATGCCTGTTTCAGTAGTACTATGTTGATGTCCTGCTTGATTATCTATTATGGTTCAGATGAGTTTCATGACTGTTAACATGTATGTCATGAATTCCTCTCACAAGAAGCTTTGCGATAATAATCTTTGTGTATGTTCCTATTTATTGGATGTAATCCTTTCTTCTGCAAAGAAGTTACTGATGGTAGACATTGTATGTTGGCTCAGCTCATGTTATCTGTGTATTATAATATTAAATTTTAAGCAATAGAGTGTTTTAATAAAATTTCTCCATCAATCCAGTGAAATATATAAAATCTGAACTAGTTTGATATGCATTCAGAAGAGAGAGAAGCCTAGTCGAATAATGAAAAAGACAAACAGATTTGAGTTGTTGTTACGAGTCTCAAATCTGCAGTGAAAACCTATACATCTCAACCAGGGTTCAGGATTCAAGAACGAGACATAGGAAACAGAAACAAGCTTCTGCTTAGAAGTTGGCTTGCAATATTCAGCTGTGAGAAATGTTGTATCATTCAGGAAAACAAACAAGCTCCAAATTTTCAGTTTGCAATACGGTTAGTTTGGGTGGCCTATGCCATTGCTTCTCTTTTGTAAACGCTGTAGCATCTGCTGTGCTTCCAAATTAAACAATTGCAGGCTCGAGATTTCTGTAGAAAAAATGTTCGTTGATTATATGAATATGCACTTTAGAAGAACTATACAAGGGATTTCGAACGTGAATATGCACCGGATCATTTGTATTTTCCTGCTATAATTTTGTTTTGGATTCAGTCACAAACTGGAATTAGTAAACTTAAAGCTCCAGCATTTGACGGTCAAAGTATCCCACAAATTTCAAGCACTTTGAAACAGAAGTTGCACAGTTCATATTTACGAAGATCTATTTCTCTTATATGAATTGTGTGCCAGCTCAGGAGAAAAAATAGGAAAAAAAAAAGGAGAAAAAGGGTCACTTACTTTTAACCTCAAAGAAAAAAAGGAGAGATAGGTAAACTTGAATTATTTAATTTACACAAAAAATCGATACAAATGCAATTTACAGTAACTAATTCAAACTACTTGGAGTGGGTAATAGTTCCTTTAGGAATGCAACCAATGCTACTCCCTTAGCAAGGCCCGGTGCAGCTGTTCTAGGACTCCTAAATATTCAGCTTGTGTCACACTGTCACTAGCGAGGTCCCCTCAAAGAAAATTGAGAAGAAAAGAAATTAAAGACGGAGACGTTTGGCACTTGGGGAGACTTGGTTGCTTCATCTTCGTTGACCACAAGTTCTCATCGCCGGCTTTCTTCTAGCAATCGTGATGCCGATCATCAAAGTCCGTTCCTCCTCTGCTGCTGGTAAGCTGTAGCTTCTCTCTCGCATTCATAGTTGTCAGGCCCCGGTTTTTTTGCTTTCTCCTACATGTTAGTATGCTCTTTTATTTTTTATTTTTTCCGATTCATTCATATTTACTTATTTAGTATGCTCTTTCTCCTACACTTTCTTTTGCTTTGTCCTAGGTGATTCATTCATGTTATTTTCTTTTATATTTACTTATTGCAGTCCGGTTAAATCTTTAAATCCAAACATGAAGGGTGATTTATTTGTTAATTTGCTATTGATTACATCGGGTAGGATTGACGGAGGGAAAGATGGCTTACGATGACGTTGTTTATCTGTTGGTGGAGGAGGTGGACGAGTTAACTACTATCCTAGGCAAAATACTGAATATCAAGGTATTGCAAGCCAAGTTATTTATAGAAAAAGTTGTTGAGGTCATCAGAGTATTGGAAATGGAAGGACCCCCAACTTTGCCGGACCAATTAGTAGAAGATATTGCACCTCTTGCATTGCCTGTAGGAGATTTTGCTCGGAGAACTAAGCTACTAATTACTTCACCGCTATATGATGAGTATAGAATGAATATTCGTCGCGGCTGGGAACGAATGCTATCAAGAGAAGTGCCAGAATTAGTAGAACAGATTGGTTTAAATGAGAATAAGCTGGAGAAATTTCTTGATGAATCTGACTTCTACAGCTCCTGGGAAGATTTACGCCACAATTCAGCCTTCCTACCTTGTCGTGACGCGGTGATGGATCTGCTTCAGTCTTGTCGAGAACTCAAAGACGCCATGAACTTTTTCAGTGAAGTGGGGACTGAATCAGCTTTTCTCTGCCAACATCTAAAGTTCTTGCTGTGCTTTGCTGAGCTGTGCGGGCGTTCCAATGAATGGCGTTGCCGCCAATTTGTGAACGGCATCATGGATGTTGCTAACAAAGCTCTTGATGCGCTGGAATGTGCAGATATAGATAGTCTTAGGTCAGAGATGCGGGAATTTAAATCGAATGTATATGCTTCAGCCGAGCTTGTAAAGGAAAATTGTGTCGAGAAGACGGCCAAGGAATTTTTTGATGGGAAAAATGGAAAGCGATTGGTTTTGTTGGAGACTTTAGAAAGGCTTCATTCCTTCACGGAAGAGATTGATACTACTTGTGGGAAACTTGGCAGCGAAGATCGTCAATCGCATAACGCTTCATTTGGAAGAAATGGTTTTCCTTCACTGTCTGTGATTCGTGAGAAGTTTGCTAGAGGAGATCTTCCTTCACTGCCGATCACGTATTATCTACGTGCTTTTCCTTTAATTGAACGAAGAAAAAGAGGGAGAGTTAGTGTTAGGTCTGGTATCAGGCGACCTAACAAACAGGTTCATTATCTGCGTGCTTCTGGAGGAAAAAGAAGAAGAGCGTCTAATATCATACTAGAGCGGCAAATGAATCGAATTGAATCGCGTTTTGATCTAATCGAGCCGAGTCTCGGTCTAGTTTTATCAAATTCGAACTCGAATTCGAACTCGACAAGCTGCCAATCTGAATATCAAGTTCAAGGTCAAACTCTAGCTCTAATTCGAGCTCGTGCGCTCGAGCTCGAGCGAGAGCAAGAGCGTGAGCGAGAGCTCGTGCAGCTTGAGCTGGAGCTGGCAATCGAGCTCGTGCAGCTCGACCACGAGCGCGAGCGCCAGCTCCAGCTCGAGCTCGAGCTACAGCTTGTGCTCGAGCTCAAGCTCGAGCGCCAGCGCGAGCTCATGCTCAAGCTCGAGTGCCAGCGCCAGCTTGTGCTCAAGCTCAAGCTCGAGCGCCAACGCGAGCTCATGTTGCTCGAGCGCCGGCTCGAGCTTGTGCTGCTAGAGCGCCGGTGCCAGCTCAAGCTCGAGTTCGAGCTCGTTCGCCAACGCGAGCTCGTGCTCAAGCTCGAGCACGAGCTCGAGCTCGAGTTCGAGAGCGAGCGCAACTCGAGCTAGCTCAAGCGCTTAAAAAAGACTTGAGTTTGATGTTGATCGAACTTAAGTCGAGTTTTGACTCCAGCTGCTCATGAGTAGCTTAATTTTTTTGCCGCCTTAAACAAGATCTAACAAACAGGTTAATTATCTACGTGTTTTTCGAGGAAAAAGAAGAAGCGTTGTTAGTGTTAGGTCTAGTACTAGACTGGTTAAGCGTCAAGTTCCGACAATGATGACAAACTATGTTAATAGAACCAGAATGTATGTGGTATTGCTGCCACAAATGGAGAAATAGCTCTAGAATGTATGCGCTGCTGCTACCAATAATGGAGAAATAGCTCGTGAAGAGTTTTGCGAAGAAGATAGAGCAAGATTACTATATTCACGGTATGGGTCCGTTGATCACCAAACCACTAAGAGAGCTTTTAATGAGTTATTTAGACCTTTGGTTCATCGAATAAATATTTTGAGTTCTCTTGTGTTTTAGTAATTAAATGCTTTTGGGACTAGAAACACTTTTTTATAGCTTTTATACTCTGTTTCATGGTGAAACTCTACTCTTTTGTGACTGCTCTACTTTGTGGTAAAATTCTACTCCTCTTTCGTCATAAATCATGTAATCTGGTGTCTGTTCTCGTTGATCATAGTTTTCTAGAGAATTGCTCAGAACATGATCAGCACAGCTTTGTACTGTCCAAGAGATTAATCTTCCCCGATTTTCAATTGTTGAAGCATTGCAGGGTATTTAATTTACCAACAGATACCTATGTAGATTCGTGCATGTTAAAAAGAATACATAGTTACTTTATTATGCATTTTCTAGGAAAGAAAGCGGTGTGCATTTAGAATAGGTACAAAAGTTATTTTAACCTTGGCGTACAAAAGTTTAGTTTCAAGATACTTGCTGCAAAATGTCCTTGTGATATACTAATGCAAATGAAACACCTTGTTAAATTTTGTTTCTAAAAGAAAACAGAAGTGCTTTTGAACTGCGCAGTAGCAGTAAAGAATTTTCTATTTGAAATCCATGTTAGCTTGAATCCTCAAACTAGGTAACGTACGTCTCTTTGATGCGGGTTTTTCCCTAGGTTTGCATCAGAATTTGGTAATAATATACGAGGATGTTAAAAACTTTCTGGTGCTTTTCTTGCCAAGTTTCAGTCTCCGGATGCAAGCCTAGAAGGGGACCATCTTACAGGATCTTGATCTTCTAGGCCAAACCAAGTGCTTCACACCTTGATAAACTATATGTGAACGTGGGAACACAATGCAAGAAAAAATTTATTTAACTAATCTCATTCGTGATTGGGTAGTTTTGTGGTAATCTAATTGTTAGAGAACCAATTTTCAAAGTGAAGCTTACCAACGTTGTTATTGTTGTTAATCTAGGCTTAGATTTCCATTTCTGTCTTCCATCAAATTCACTTTCATTGAATGCGTTAATTGTTTATTTTATTGTCTTCAAAAATGGATGAGAAACGAGTGCCGATTAAGTGTTTGATGTCTATATGCCCATTTGATCATCAAGCTCAGGTTAAGTGTTTGATGTCTCTGCTGTTTTGCAAATTGACCAGACAGGCCAATAGACAGCAAGTCAATTATTCCTAAAAGATCCAACCCCCGCCACTGCCAAGCAGTATTGCTTCTACACCATCCAAATAAAACAAAGAAAAAACCACCAAAATAAAGTCGACAAAATTTTATCGGGCTTCAGCTATTTATGCAATCCTTGTAGTGCTCCTTTGATCTGATGAGAAATCACATGTACAATCAGTAGAATGCAAAAGTTGCAACTTCCTCGATTATGTAGGGGAGGAGCCACTGGGCCCTGATAGGCTGGTACAGAATATCGTAAGTTCAATTCTGGAGCAATCGTTTCCTAAAATTTTGGGGGATATTTTGCTATTTCTTTAGTTGGTGCTATGGTATCTAACTCATCTATTCCATGTCTAATGAGCTAGGAGATTCCATTGTTCTGGGATGCAGAATTTTCATTATTATCCGGTATACTCATGGTGGCAAGTCGCATAAAAGATCAGTTTCGTTGCATCTTGAACCCATTCCAGATTTTAGGAGTATCCCCAAAATCCAAGCCCTTTTCGGCTAGAACCATGGTCAGGAAATATGACGATCAGAAAGTTTTGCATACAACATATCTAAGCAGCATAAAACTACTATACTAAGTAGTAATTGATCAAGGGGCAAGAAGGCAAAGCTAAGAGAGCCTACTATCTTTTGACTTATTACGCAATTACTAAGTTCTGAATCCGAGAGATCTGAGCCTGTAGAATAAGTTGTGGAAGAGGAGAATCCACAGGAAATCACCGGGATGGGAGGACTAGGGAAAATCAAGATTTGATCGCTCAAAACAAAAAATGACCAAAGATAATGTACTGAAAGTGGTAAAAAAAAAAAAAAAAAAAGCTAAGGAAACAGTATATTATCATTAATTTTCACCTTCCTTTCAAGTTAATTTTGTGAATGTAATTATTAATTGAATTTTAATTTGACAAAATTTAAAAATGTAAGGTGTAAAATGTTCAAAATTAAGTGCTTAGAGTGTAAAATGAGAAAGTAGTACTAGTTTAGAGGCATAAAATAAGAGTACACACCTCCCTTTCGTCTACGGACAGCGCCCACCAACAATGGGAAAAATGTGAGAAGTTGACAATGGTTTCTCTTTTGACCAGATACAAGTAGATCATGCGGAGTGCAAATTTCTGATTTTTCTCCTTCCACTAAGGTGAGGGAGGTCCTGATGTGGTACTTAGTTTCTCTTTTGATCATGTATTAAGTATCAAAACTGCAGCAGGTAAGTAACTGCCTTTTTTTCAGTTCATTATCCCTGTGACATTCATTCAGTTTTTTTTCCTTCCTTCCAGTCTAATTTTTGTATAAGCTTTTCTTGTGGTTTCATATGCTTTTACTTTGAGATGGCTTATTCTGCGGTGGTTTCTCTCTTGCAATCACTAGAGCATCTATTGCGATTCCCATGTCTGATTCTAGAAATTAATCAAATGCAAGCCAAAGCTTTCAATAACAAAGTTGACAAGGCCCTTAACCTTTCCAGAAGAACCTCAACTATGTCCAAGGTTCATCTAAGGACATTAATCGCGACAACTGAACCTCTAGCATTGACTGTAGGAGAATTTATCGAGACAGTTAATACTCATAAGCTAGTATCAAAAATTTTTGAGATATTGCAAAACATGTTTTTGGTTGACCACCAAGAATGTTGGAAAAATGTTCCAAAGTACTGGAAGAAATGGGTCATTTTAGGGCAGAGCTGATGAAATTGCTCGGTAGGACAACATATCCCCACAACAACAGGGTGGGAGAACATTCAAGACAACCTTCTTGTGCCTGGGTGGTAAAATTGCTGCAGGCCAGTGACAAACTCAGACACGCCATAACCGTTTCCCATAGAATGGCCATGGAGATGACAGTTCTTTGCCAGGATCTACGATATTTGCTAAGTTTTCTTGAGAGTTCTTCAAATGAATTCCGTGGTGATCACCAAGTGGTGAAAAGTTTAAGAGATCTCGCTAACAAGGCTGGAGATATTGTTGATGATTATCTGTTTGTTAATCCAATGAAGTCAAAGATCATTGAATTCATACATGTAACACTCGGTGATCAAAGAGAATCACTGATAGGGATTCATTACGTCCGGAAAGTAGTTAGGAAATTCTTTGATGGAGAGAGTGGGATTTATCAAGGTTTGTTCCAGACACTGCAGATGGCTCGTTCAGTTAGACAAATGATGAGGAAGATGTATGGTAAAAGAGGTGGTGGCAAGGAATATTTGCAGTCAGGAAATGCTTCGCTCAGGGGCTCATTACAGCATGATTCAAATAAGCAACATATTGTGGTTGGCCTTGATGACTACTTGGGTAGAATGTTGGACCAAATTACTGGATTTCCATCTAGACTAGAAATAGTCACGATTGTTGGGATGGGTGGCATCGGTAAAACAACACTTGCCAAAAACATCTTTGATCATCCTTACACCATTTATCACTTCTATTGTCGTGCATGGGTTGCAGTGTCCCAAGTTTATCAAGTGAGGGATTTGTTATTAGGCGTTTTGAGCTCTGTTAGTCAACTCAGTGCTGAAACCTACTCAAAAACCAATGACCAATTAGCTGAGGTCTTGTATAGAAGTTTGAAGGGCAGGAGATATCTAATTGTCATGGATGATATGTGGAGTGCTAAGGCTTGGGATGATGTCAAAAGATCTTTTCCAAATGATAAAAATGGAAGTCGAGTAGTAGTAACTACTCGGTTAACGGATGTGGCTATCTATGTCAATCCGAAAACGAATCCTCATTTTATGAGCCTGCCAAGCATAGAAGAAAGCTGGAAATTGATGGAAAATATATTGTTTGGAGAAGAAGGTTGTCCTCTGGAGTTGGTAGATGTTGGAAAATATATAGCCAAAAGGTGCCAAGGCCTGCCACTTTCTATTGTTGTTGTTGCTGGTCTTCTTTGCAGTGTCACGAGAACCCTTGATTCCTGGAGGGCCATAGCAAGCAGCATTAGTTCATTCCTATGCACTGACGCTGAACTTTGTCTAGAAATGCTTGCTTAAAGTTACAACCACCTACCCCCTTACTTGAAAGTCTGCTTCCTGTATATGGGGGCTTTCCCTGAAGATTGTGAAATTGAAGTGCAAAACTTGATCCATTTATGGATAGCCGAGGGCTTCTTGGATCCAAAAGTTCTTGAACACCCAGAAGCAGTGGCTGTGGATTACTTGGAAGACCTCATTGGCAGAAGCTTAGTTTTGGTTGGAAAAAGGAGTTTTGATGGCAAAATCAAAACATGCATCCTCCATGATCTTTTGCGGGAACTGTGCTTAAGAGAAGCTCAGAAAGAAAACTTCTTGTCTGTGATAAAAGGGTTTTCTGCAGGTATAGCTGATCAGCGCCGTCTCAGTCTCCACAAGGACTCTTATCTTGATGTTCACTTGGCACCTGAAATACCATATGTCAGATCATTTCTGTATTTTGATGTGGGTTCTGGCTTCGAACCAGACATCTTATTCTTCCAGTAGGGCTTTAAATTGCTAAAAGTATTGGATGTGATTTTTCTGCGATTTGAAACTTTCCCTGTTCAAATACTAGAACTGGTTAATTTGAGTTACCTTGGACTGATGGTCACTTTTGAGCTTCCCAAAATGTTATCTAGATTCAAGAATCTGCAAACATTAGTGATTCATGGTCCCTGGACTAGCACAGATTATGCTGAGTCCCCAAATTTGTTGTTTGAATATTGGAGTATGCCAAAGTTAAGGCATATCTATATTACTGTTGCTTGCTGTTTAAGAAGCCCTTCTGTCAAAATGGATATTAGTTTATGGCCATTCACTTCAAAATGCATCCAAACTGTGTCCAGAATTAGATTTGCAAGCTGCACCAGGGAAGTTTTCATCAGCATGCCTTCTCTACGGATGTTAGCATTGTCAGAAACCAAGGAAGACTATGAGATGGATTGGTCAGCCAAATGCCTAAAAGAGCTTTTCTATTTGCAAGAACTTGAACTTTTGAAGCTATACTTCTACAGGGAAAGTGACAGGTTGTCGAAACCTGTGCAATAATAAAACCTGCTCAAACTAAAGTTAATTTATGTAGATAGCAGTAAGCAGGGTCGAATCCACAGAGACTGGGAGTAATTGTTCCTTTCCAAATTCACAGTGACAAAGGGGGTGTTTTATATCAGGAGTGACAATTTAAACAATTCAATTAAAAGTAAAAAAATAAAATAGCCAACTAGAAATTAAATAACAAGTTACTAAAATCTAATGAGTGATAATTAAGGATCTAACCAAGAAATAACTTCAGCAATGGTTCACCCAATTGATCATCGATAAGCAAAGGCAATTCCAATTATTTACTAATAAATAGGTTATAACTGCCAAACAAGCGATGACAGTCAACCCCTCCTTACTGTGTCGATGATTAAGGTACGCCCGTTAATCACTGCTCTAATTGAGAAATAATCCTAGGTACGCCCATAGAATTTAATTCCCCAATTGCCTTACGTATTAGAGGAGCCCTATTCTAATCAAATAACGCACTACCAGGGTTATTTTAGATTAGCCCGCGGATTCCCCTGACACAAACCCAATCATGCCAGTTATCACTATTTTGAGACAATTAAACAATTACGGATTTAACGTCCCAATTGACAATAGATTATTAAATTAACTAATTATCCGGATCCAAGACAATCAATTAATTAAACAATCATAAGCATTGTAACCAGGGAATAAGCAAATACCAATAAATAAAAGGAAAAGATAAAATTAAATCGATCTCACAAGTGTAGGCGAACCAAAGCCTCCGTTGTTCCTTGACTAGAGCGAAGAGATTAGTTCATGTTTAATATGAAAAACTGACGCAAAATTGGAGAGGGAGCCGCGGCCATTGTTATTGATTTTTGAGAATTTAATCCGTTCCAATCAAGAGATAGCAAAGTTACACGAAGCAATCCTCTGTTTCACTTCGGATGACATGCAAAGGGAGCAAAGGGAGTACTAAGCGTTCAACATGAAGAAAAAGTCAAAGCTAAGAATTTCTAAATGCTGCCTGACTTTCGTAAGAAGCATTTCACTACTACAAGCTAAAGAAGAAAAGTCAAAGACGAAGGAAAAAGGTAAAAGGCATCTGCAGTCCTCTCTTTTTTCCTATCTAAGTCTGACTCCTCCTTGCCGCGGCTCTGTGCGGCGGCCCTCCTTCCACAGAGGAAGAAGAAGTCTCCTGAGGTTTGCTTTCTTTTCCCTTTTTCTAGTTGCTGTCTTCGGTCAAAATTATCAAAAAGGTCTTGCATCTCCTTGTTCCACGAATACCCTTGATTGCCTGCTATTTGGACTCTTTCCTGATAACTGTCAAATTGATACTTATTATGGTATTTTCGTTCTACTTCCTGAAATATATGCCAAATACTAAAAGTGAGTAGAATCCAGCAATTAGTCCACATCGGGTCAAGTAATAGGGAAAATTAATAATAAAATAAATGATAAAATTGCAACCTATCAATTCCCCTCACACCTAAACCATGCTTGTTCTCAAGCATAAGAATAGTAAACAAATACCAAAATTTGATAATGGTCATTATTCCATCTACCATATTGCCAAGATACCAAGAAAAATAATAATCAAGCACCAATGGTCAAGTCCAAGAAATATCACTCCGGTTAGCTTCTAAACCACAAACTCCTCTAATTTCAAATTAACTATTCTAAGAAAAAGGAATGACGCATAACATTTATCAGTAAATGGTCCAACTATTAACCAAAATCTCAACATTAAATCCATAATTCGGCAAGCTGACTTTTATTACACACTAACACAACCTTCACTTTTTTTCACAATTTTTTTCTCCTTTTCTCTCTTTTTTTTTTTATAGTAACAAGAGACTTAGTCGCTAGCCATTTGAGCCTTTTGACGCGAACTCCAACATTGGCCAGATGAAGGAGCCCGGTTACTCAGCTTCTATCGTCACGTGACCACGTACTCATAGGAATTATTATCTTTTGACGCGAGAATCAACACTTTTGGTGAAGATCCCCGGTTACTCGGTAGTAAATACTAGCGGAGTACAGTCAACTCTTATTCACAGCCAAATAATACCAAAAATTCAAAAAAACACAAAAATCAAAAGGAACTTTGCAGCTGCTAGTCTCATTTTTAAATATGGAGAACTAAGGTTAATAACCGGACCAATTCACATGAAAATGCCAACAGTCATTCCCTATGCCTAGGAGAGTTAACCAAAAAATTATAAGAGTAAAACAATCATCGATATTCACCAAAAAGATGTTCTTGGATTCAACCACATTAACTTGACACCCTTTTATTATTAAAACTTGGCAAAAGTAGAAATAGAGTCAATAATCCAACATCAAACTTGGTAGAGCTAGACAGATAAATGACAAAAAGTAGGCGAAAACTAGACAAATAACAAACTAAAAATAAAAGAAAAATATCTGAAAACTAAAAACTAGAAAAAGAAACTAGCACAGCTGCCCCCCCACACCTAGACCATACATTGTCCTCAATGGAGGAATTAAAGCAATTAAAGTGAAGAGGACAACGAAACTTCCCTCTCAAGTGGCTACGGGGTAGGCGGGGACGATGGAGGGAAACCAATGTGGTGGAAGTACGCGCCCAAGTTCTGAGACATCATAACTCAATTCAACCAGCAAATGCCAAACTCTGTCCACCCAAAATCTCAACAAAGGCTCCAATTGGTCAGTGAGTATCTCAACTCAAAATCGACAATTCTAGCAATAGTAGATCCAAATTTTGACAAGAACAAAACAGGCCAGCTACCACAATTGAAACCACAGCCCACCAATTCAAATGTACTCTACCAATTGCTATCAAGCAATTCAAGGAAAATCCACCCAACCACTAGTTGCGAACATTCCCATAAAGCATAACCGCTCACAGTAATAAGCATATGACCTTCGAAACCAACATAATCCAGCAAAGTAGCGCACAACTTTGACCTCAGTATCTCAATTACAAACTCGTAGCTATTAGGCAGGCAACCAACCAAATAAAAGTAACAAATCCAGGTCCAATTACTCCAACCAGTACCACTGGTGGAGGCACAGGGAAAAATTAAAGCAAATGACCAACCCAAAGTATTGATAATTCCAAGCAACGCCAAGCAGTACCAGAAATCGAAAAGACCAAAATGGTAGTCAATTGGGCAAATAACTCCCAAGGCAAATAGAGGCAACCTACTTCAATAAGCAACGGAAATGGCACAGGAGCCGTCCAATGCATCAATTAAATGCAGTAAACCCCAACCAAAGGCAGCTCAATAGACTCCAGGCAGAAAGTACCAAATGATACTCAATTGACACCAAAAACAATCCCAACAAAGCAGCAAGATCGAAGGATACTCAGTCACAGATGCTCAATCATATCGAAATAAGAAATTGTAAGCAAATTAGCACAACCAGTACCACTGGTGTATACACAGGAAAGGAGGGAACCACATGGCCAACCCAATGAATAAAAAGCACAACTGAGGCACCCCAAAGGCTAGAAAAGTACCCTAACAACACCGCAAATTGAATGAATATGCACTGGGTCACCCATTCAGTCAAAATAAGATCAAGGGGCATGATATAGAAACTAACAAAGCAGAAATCAAGTGATACCAACAGGGACCCCAACAGAGCAAAGAATTCAACCAATTGGAGCAAGTGAAATTCAACAAATGTCACCAATTGGACATTTAATTACCCAATTCAACCGACCAAAATTAGCAATTGAGCCAAGCAACTGGCAATTCTAGCAACCACCGTTTAGAATTTGAGAAACAATTTAAGCACTAAAACCCAAGAATCAAGTAGGCAGTCAAGCATAAAGGATTAAGAAATTTTAGTCAACACCACAACCAGTACCACTGGTGTACACACAGGGAGGATTTAAATCAGACAGCAGCAACTCAATAAATATCAGGAAATATCCCCACGTATGGCAGCAATTAAACCTAATTCCGTCCACAATTTTACCCTAGAAATTTCCCAAAACAACACCTTCTTCTAATCATCAGAAACCCAAACACAAATTCCAGAAATTTATGCTAATCGTGGAAGAAATTACAATACCTCCACCTGTCAATTTTGACAGGTGATGACGTGCGGCAATGGAGGAGAACGGGAGATGCGCGCGGCTGCTTGTGGCTTTGGTGGAACGTGAGCTGAGGTGGCCGAGAGGGTGGTGAACTGGAGGAGGTTGCATGGTGGTGCGCTGCTGGGCAGGAGGAGAAGTGGTGGTTGTGGTCGTGGAGCCTGGGCAGAGTGGAGGAGAGCTAGGGGAGATTGGTGGCGCGTCTTGGCTGCGAGGGTGACCGCTGGTGTGGGCGATGGCAGCGTGGACGGCGAGTGAGGGAGAGGCGGCGGCGGACTGGTCAGCGAAGGGGGAGATGGGCGGCACTCTGTCGGGCTCGCGGCAGCTCCTGGCCGCAAAGTGAAGCTGCCCGTGGTGGAGGTAGAAGCTGCGAGGAGCTGGTGGCGGAGCTCACGGAGAGAGAGAGATGAGCGCGGGCAGTGGCTTGGGCCTGGCGAGCTGGTAGTGGGCGACGAAGCTTCTTGGCCGCGTACGGCGCGGTGGGCAGCGGCATGAAAGAAAAAGAAGAAAAAAAGGGAAACACAGGGGAGCAGCGGAGAAGAAGAAGAAAAGGAAGAAAGAAAGAAAAAAGAAGGAAAAGAAAGAAGAGAAAAGAAGGAAAAGAAAAAGAAAAAGAAAGAAATTGTTTTTGTTCTTTTTTTTTTTTAGGCTCCATTTGAGCTACGGTGAGAAATATTTTTTCTTTTTTTCTTTTTTTGGTTTTTTTTTCCTTTTTTTTTCTATGGAAATTAAAATTTTTTTTTTTTTGAATTTTAGAAACTAAAGCTACGGTGATAAGAAAAATTTTCTTTGTTTTTTTTTTTTTTGTAATTCTTACCTTTCCCGTGAACGTGACGCGGGCACGTCATGAGGGAAAGAGATCTCCCAGAAGTTTCTGATCGTGAGCTTCATGCACATCACCACGCGGGCGCGTCATGAGGGCAAGAGATGAGTGAAGGGCACCTATAAATCAGCAAAAACGAAAACTGAAACCCAAAATCAGTCGAATTCAAGGAAAACATACTTAAACTATCACACGAAATCAAAACAAACAATTAAAAGAAATAATTGGGGCCTCCCAATAAGCGCCTTTTTTTAACGTCTTTGGCTAGACATTATTATGTTTTTTCATGGAGGATAAAATCGTGTAGCTCGTTTCAATGCTTCATCTTCAATGTGATCCTGGTAACCCTCATAGATGGAGTAATCTTTGAACACACGAGGTACGGTCTTCCATGGACTAGTTGATGGCGCCAAATAATAGAGCAGTGATCTCAATTCTTCATCCACTCCTCTATCAAGAGCACTCAACTGTTCCAGATATTTGACCATAGCTACTCTTAACTTATTTCTGGCATGAGACTCAAAAACTTCCGGTATAACAAAATCAATCTCATCAACAGAAATCATGGAGTAAGAGTTAAGAAAATGCGGGTTAGGGAATGGAGGTGGTGTCACCATATTTGATGATTTTTCACTGGATTCTTTCACTTGAATGGGTTACGGTTGGGGTTCCATTTCTTCCTTTTCGGCTTCTTTTTCAACTGCATCTGTAGATTTCTCATTTTGACACTCTTGCATCTCCTTATCACTAGTCAAGCAAATTGCACTCTCATTTTCTTCTAGATCAACAATGGTTTCCGAGGGCAATTCTTCCATTTGAGAAGCCAATCGATTCATTCTGGATGTCAATAGACATAGTTGATCTGCCAGATAATTCATTGCATCCTTTATCATTTCATTTCCCATTTGTGTCTCCTGTTGGAATTGGTATGTGTTAGTAGCTATTGGTTCAACTATTTCTTCAAGAGACATACCTGACATAGATGACGATTCTTGAGACTCATACTGCTGAAAATTCATTAGCCCCGTTGGATAATTATAATTGGAGTTATCACACCCTCCTTGATCATACCCGTATGGATTAGGGTTATACCACGTTTGAGACCAAGGTGAAAAATCTCCATAATTATTGAGTGGGACACTCAGATTATCTTGATATTCGGAGCACATACCGGTTGAATGATTTCTGGCATAACAAATTTTACAGGTTGCAGCAGCCATTCTTTTTCTAATAGAGTTTACTGCCTCTGCATATGCAGACTCAGGAAAAAAACAAATCTCATCGCCTTCCCCGGAAATAAAATCCAGTACATCACCAAAATACGGAGTGTTAGAAGCCATAAAAAAAAATAAGAGAAAAATAAATTAAAAATGAAAACAAGGTGAACTCAAAAAGAAACAAATTAATCTGACACCAGTCCCCGGCAACGGCGCCAAAAATTGACAAGTTGTCGAAACCTGTGCAATAATAAAACCTGCTCAAACTAAAGTTAATTTCTGTAGATAGCAGTAAGCAGGGTCGAATCCACAGGGATTGAGAGTAATTGTTCCTTTCCAAATTCACAGTGACAAAGGGGGTGTTTTATATCAGGAGTGACAATTTAAACAATTCAATTAAAAGTAAAAAAATAAAATAGCCAACTAGAAATTAAATAACAAGTTACTAAAATCTAATGAGTGATAATTAAGGATCTAGCCAAGAAATAACTTCAGCAATGGTTCACCCAATTGATCATCGATAAGCAAAGGCAATTCCAATTATTTACTAATAAATAGGTTATAACTGCCAAACAAGCGATGACAGTCAACCCCTCCTTACTGTGTCGATGATTAAGGTACGCCCGTTAATCACTGCTCTAATTGAGAAATAATCCTAGGTACGCCCATAGAATTTAATTCCCCAATTACCTTACGTATTAGAGGAGCCCTATTCTAATCAAATAACGCACTACCAGGGTTATTTTAGATTAGCCCGCGTATTCTCCTGACACAAATCCAATCATGTCAGTTATCACTATTTTGAGACAATTAAACAATTACGGATTTAATGTCCCAATTGACAATAGATTATTAAATTAACTAATTATCCGAATCCAAGACAATCAATTAATTAAACAATCATAAGCACTGTAACCAGGGAATAAGCAAATACCAATAAATAAAAGGAAAAGATAAAATTAAATCGATCTCACAAATGTAGGCGAACCAAAGCCTCCGTTGTTCCTTGACTAGAGCGAAGAGATTAGTTCATGTTTAATATGAAAAACTGACGCAAAATTGGAGAGGGAGCCGCGGCCATTGTCATTGATTTTTGAGAATTTAATCCGTTCCAATCAAGAGATAGCAAAGTTACATGAAGCAATCCTCTGTTTCACTTCGGATGACATGCGAAGGGAGCAAAGGGAGTACTAAGCGTTCAACATGAAGAAAAAGTCAAAGCTAAGAATTTCTAAATGCTGCCTGACTTTCGTAAGAAGCATTTCACTACTACAAGTTAAAGTAGAAAAGTCAAAGATGAAGGAAAAAGGTAAAAGGCATCTGCAGTCCTCTCTTTTTTCCTATCTAAGTCTGACTCCTCCTTGCCGCGGCTCTGTGCGGCGGCCCTCCTTCCGCAGAGGAAGAAGAAGTCTCCTGAGGTTTGCTTTCTTTTCCCTTTTTCAGTTGCTGTCTTCGGTCAAAATTACCAAAAAGGTCTTGCACCTCCTTGTTTCACGAATGCCTTTGATTGCCTGCTATTTGGACTCTTTCCTGATAACTGTTAAATTGATACTTATTATGGTATTTTCATTCTACTTCCTGAAATATATGCCAAATACTAAAAGTGAGTAGAATCCAGCAATTAGTCCACATCGGGTCAAGTAATAGGGAAAATTAATAATAAAATAAATGATAAAATTGCAACCTATCAGAAAGTACAAAAATACGGAGAATTTTGTTTTGGGATGCTTTGCCAGCTAATCTCAGGAAATTGACCATAAGTTGGAGCTATCAACCGTGGCAGAATATGATCTCCATTGACTTGTTACCCAAACTGGAGGTGCTCAAACTGAAAAATTATGCTTTCCAAAGGCCAAAGTGGGAACCAAATGAAGGGGGCTTTCGTGTTTTGAAGCACTTGCTGGTTGAGATGACTGATCTAGTGTCATGGGTGGCCACAAGCAATCACTTTCCACGTCTTGAGTATCTAGTTCTCAAGTCTCGCAAGTACCTGAAAGAGGTTCCCCATGGTATTACAGAAATTTCTACCCTGAAGCGGATAGAGTTGCACAACTGTAGTGAATCTGCAATAATTTCTGCTACAAGTATTGAAGTTGAAAGCCTTGATGTTGTCATCAAAAGCAATAGGTAAGTCTTTATTTGCATTTAGAATCACTTTGATTGAAACATACAGTTTATGAAGTTTATATTGACGCACCATTCCCGCACTTGCATTTCCTGACATTGTATGGATTGCATGTATCTGTGATGTCTCCAAAATCATGTCACAGATTTCAGCACTCTGCATAAAGGGAAGCTTTGAGCTGCGGCTTGCAATTTCGATTTCCCACCTGATCTGGAATTGCTTCTTGTCATCCATCTTGCTGAGGCTTCTCGTAAATGCTGCATAAGAGAGTGGAAGGCCAGCCCCTACGCCATATGATGAAAGCGTTTCAAGGTCTTGGCATGTACCTCGTTCATTTTATCTTGAAATTGATCTGAGATTTTCTCCTAGTCCTAGGTAACGATTGAGCAGGAAGCTTCTAATACGTCTTGTTGAATATGAATGGACAAGAATCAAATGAATCCCATTTGGCTAGGAATGCTTATATTTTTTACATTGAATAAACACAATCCTTTAGTTCTTGTGGTACCTCCCAAGTGAACTGATATCAATTTTCACTTGTTTTATTACTCATCTTGATGCGTTTGAAGTAATCATCTAGTGCATGTAAACAAAAATTCGTCAAACTCTCTCAAAGTTCGCAAAATTGCTTGTTCCCTTGCAGGATATCTTTTAATCTTTTACAGGGTTTTACAATAAAAAAGTTAATATGTTCGTTTGACATCAACTCCTCTGTCTCTTGATCTTTTGTGTCAGCAATATACACTATTTAAAGCTGTTTGATTTTGAGAAACAGGTTAAAAATGGTTTAGCATTACTTATTTCTGTTGTCAATTTTCATTCCACGAGGTCAGTCCCAGAAAAGCGAGCAGAGGCAATATTGTTGAGGCAATCTACTGCAATATTCTTGTCGTGTACTAATGCGAAGCTGCATTAATGTAAAAGGAAATGGATGAAGCTAACCTGATGTGCGCAAAGTTTCAAGTCTGATGTCCAGAATTTGTGTTAGTCCATAGTTGCATGCAGGGGAAGTTTAAAATGTATCACATGGATTATCTGCTATTATGATCAACCATTGATTTGACATACCAGCAAATCGCAATTGAAAATTTTCATTACCCATTTGAGAAAATCTGGAAAGGCGTTAGTTGCTTAAAACAAAAAAAGCAAAAAGAAAAGAAAACATGTAACAACAAAATATGCATATCCAGTCATGAAAGCCTTTTTCAACATTTGCTAACTCACTCACGCACGCACGCACTTAACAAGAAAGAGAGAGCAAGTGCCACAATAGGATACTTAACAGGACTAACAAGACAATGCATTACTTACTGAAAAGCAACCGAATTAAAATCTGGGGCTATTAAACGCCAACATGGGGCAATTTGGTGCAAACTAACCAAAGAAGAAGAAGAAGAAAGTGTCCAATAATGCAAGACTCTTTTTGAGTCTTTGTTTCTTTATGTTGAAAATGGAACCGTTTTGTCATGTAAAACTTTTGTAAAATATTTTTTTTGAACACTCTACTATAACTCTTTGGTACTGTATGCAAAATATAGAGATGTTTGAATGGTGTAGAAGGCGACATAAAAATAATTATATATATATATATATATATATATATATATGTATGTATTTAAATAACCATATCCAAACTGACTCAAACATTCATTTGGGTATAGTTAATTAAATTTTGCAATAATTTCAAAAACCTCCCCTAAGGTTTTTAACAATTTAACTAACCTCCTCTGAAATTTGTAAAATTATACAAATCTCCCCTGATTTTAGGATTTTGATAACGAAATTAGTCCGATGAGAAAAAGTAATATTAAAAAAGTATTTTAAGGAGAGAGATGAAAATTTGATTCTATAAATACCCCTTATGCATGTATATAAGTTGTATTAGTAAAAGAATAAAAATAATTAATAGTTAGAAATAATTAATACACACATTTTGCCACTCAAAAAGTTCATGTTTAATAAATTAGGCAGCACTATTAAGCAACAAAACTACACTAATGATCACAAGATTCAGTAAAATAGACTAGTCATCTCTTTTAACATGATATTTGCTATGATTCTTGTGATTTTGAATCGAAAAATTTCTAAATTTTGTCTTTCTTTTCCCTCCTTCCTCCATTAGCTATATCAATTGATATTATTATGTAAATACAAGTCATCGTTTATCATTAAAGAAATTTTCAACAGTTATTTTCATTAATTAGTTACTAATAATTAATTGGTACTCTAATTACTTAATTGTTGATATTAGTATAGGAGAATGGAGGGAAAAGAAAGGTAAATTTTGAAAAAATTTTCTGTTCAAAATCACAAGAATCATAGTAAACATCATGTCAAAAGAGATGACTAGTTCGTTACGCTGAATCTTGTGATCATTAGTGTAGTTTTGTGGCTTATTTGTGTTGTCTAATTTATTCAATGTGAACTTTTGAGTGCCGAAATTTGTGTATTAATTGTTTCTAATTTTTAATTATTTTTATTCTTTTATTGGTACAACTTATATATATGCATAAGAGGTACTTAAGAAATAAAAATTCCATCACTCTCCTTAAAGTACTTTTTTTAATGTTACTTTTTCTAATTGAACTCATTTTATTATCAAAATCATAACCTTAGGGGAGGTTTGTGTAATTTTATAAACTTTAGGAGAAATTAAATTGTCCCTTAAATTTTCCCTATGTGTAGGGTCCATAGAGCACTTGGGATCCTCGGTGACATGTTTCTCTATGCTAATTCAATGCCACCTATAATATTGCACCAAGTGTCCTGCCACCTAAAATAAATGATTTAACTTTTCTACTATCGGTCGCGTTACGCTGTTACGGTAAATGAAAGAAGATGCACTCGGGCGGTTTGGCTGCTTCATCTTCGTTGACCACAAATTCTCATGGCTGGCTATCTTCCAGGCAGCGTGATTCCGTTCAGCCGAAGGCCCTTCGTTCCTCTGCTGCTGGTAAGTTGTAGCTTCTCTTACACATTTTTCAATGATGGCCGACCCCAGTTTCCATACTTTTAATTTTCCTGTATGTTAGTATTTTTCTTTCTTTTTTCTTGGAGTTTTACTTGGAATTCCTTCATGCTAGCTGCTTTTGGCATCTTGGTTACAGCTTTAATTCGAAACATTTAGGCGAATTTTTTTTTTTTGGAGGTTAAATCTAGTATTCGTTACATGGGGTAGGATTGACAGAAGGAAGGACGGCTGACAGTGGGATCTTTAGTCTGGTAAACGAGCTGCATCAATTGATTCTTATATTACGGAAAATACTGAATATAAAGAAACTGCAAGCCAAGTTATTTACCAAAAAAGTTGGTGAGATCATCATGTTACTGAAAATGGAAGGAGCCCCAGCTTTGCCGGAACAATTAGCAGAAGAGATTCTACCTCTTGCACTGCCCGTTGGAGATTTTGTTCGAGGACCTAGGCAACGAACCATAAGGCCGAAACTTGAGTATACAATGGCTACTTGTTACAGAGGAAAATTATCAAATGAAGTGCCAGAATTAGTAGAACAGATTGATCTCAATGAGAATAAGCTGGAGAAATTTCTTGATTCAACTGACTTCTACAAAAAAAGAAATGCCTGGGAACATTTACGCAACAATTTGGCGTTACTACCTTCACGTCAGGCGGTAAGAGCACTGCTTCAGGCTAGTTGTCTACTCAAAGACACCATAATCTTTTTCCATGAAGTCGGTACTGAATTAGCTGCTCTGTGCGAATGTCTAAGGTTCCTGCTGACCATTTCCAAGAAGTGCGAGCATTCAAATGAATGGCCTTGTCACCAATTCGTGGAAGGCATCAGGGATGTCACGATCAAAGCACTTGATGCTGTCAACTGTGCAGACAAACATAGTCTTACCTCGGAGATGCAGAAATTTGAGGAACGCATACTGTTGGATCCTAATGTAATGTGTGAAGATGCTGAAGTTATAAAGGAAAATTGTGTCGAGAAGATGGCCAAGAAATTTTTTGATGGGAAAAATGGCAAGCGATTGGTTTTGTTGGATGCTTTAGAAATGCTTCATTCCTGCAAGGAAGGGATTATTGATATGACTCTTAGCAAGCTTCACAGAAAAGACCTTCAATCGCAGAATGCTGCATTTGGAGGAAATGGCTTTCCTTCACCGTCTATGATCTGTGAGATGTTTGCCAGAGAAGATCTTCCTTCACTGCCTATGACACATTGTCTAAGTGCTTTTAAAGGAAGAAAAAGAAGAAGAGCAGGTGCTTTGCACAATTGCATTGCAGAAAATCAGCACAATTTATAGTACTTTTCCAAGAAGTTAATCTTGCCAGATTTTCAAAAAAAGGGGCATAAAGCAGCCTCTGTTTAGAAAAAGTACAAACGTTAATGCAATCTTATTGCACCGTCCTGATTCCTTAATTTAGGTTCAAGTTTTTTTCATTGTCCGTCTGATCGTTCACCTCTAATGTCATATGTTTCCTCTTCCCTCCCAATTACGTGATCAAGGGGAATCAGTCGGCTTTGGGGTAGAATAGTTTTAAGGTACTTGCTGGAAAATATCCTCATCGTAAACTAAAGCAAAATGACATAATAATGTGATTAAAATGCTGTCAGGTGGATTAAGATCTGCTGCATGGGAAACTTTATGCAAAATGACATAATGGAGTTCGATAATTAAAAGCTTCCATGAGTCTTTGTTCCTTGTGTCAATAAAAGATAATATGAGTCAAATCCAATCGAAATTGTTTACACTTTATTTTCCTCGCTTCCCAACTTTTACAACAACTAGTAATGTGTCACGTGTTTTGTACTTCAATATATTATTTTTAAAATATAACATTTTCTATATACTAAATTTCTTTGCTAAATTTTGATTGTAAATAGAATACATTCTAAGAAATTATGATCCACAAAATTTAGTAATTGTCAATCATACAAAGTGTATATTGCATATAAAACAAATTAGATATTTATTTTATATTCGATCATACAAAAACTTTGAAGATGGAAGTTGAGCTAAGTTATTGTCTATTTTAATGGAGTTACAGCAAAACAAAGAGGAAATTTTCTATGATTTTATCAAACTAGTGCTTAAAATCAGAGTTAACAAAAATATTTGCTAAAAGATGCTCATTTTTAGCTATTGTAAAAGAGATCTAGGGTCAACCCCTTCTTCCAAATCTAAATAAAATCAATTGGAAGTCGGGGCCTCCCAGATCAATGCAAACTAACAAGAATCTCTTAAGGCTAAACTCGTATGTTTCCACAACAACAAAAAAAAAAAAAAAATTGAGATGAGACTAAAGGAACACTTTCAAATATATGCAAGTTGAAGTTCCAAATCCAATCCTTCATTTGTTTTAGAAACCAATTTCCAATTCCAATCTAATAATACTTTCCTCTTTCATGTTTGAATTGCGTTCTTTTGGATTTTTTATAGAAAAATTACTGTAACGATTTGATATATGTGAGGGAAAAAGGTTCTTTTGGATTTTTTGT